CCAGTATAATCATAGATGGACTCTCCAATTTTTCTAATAACTGAGGTTGAAACCATTTCAAAAAATTGTCCTGGTTCATCTCTCCATGGTAATCGCTCAATTTTGTTTTCGAAGAAAATATCGCTTCACTACCCTCAATAAACCCATTTTCATTTCCAGCATGTAATATAATGTATCTAAAATATATTAGTTTTAAATTTTATAGTGCAAATTGTGTAAAAGTACATACCTTTTACCATCTGTTTTAATAGCTTTCACGCTTTTTTGGTTTCCATTTTGCCAAGAGCGACCTATGGTCCCATTTTGAAATATCCAAGTTTCATCGAGGAAGACAAACTGGTATAAGGCCTCAACCTTGGCTTGATTGTATTGCCTTAGAAATTCCACCCTTTTCAAAGCTATACTTGGTAGTTCCATGAGCCCTCGTCGCGGATTGTCCTTAAGCCACTTAAATCCAAGATCTCTAAGCAACCGCCTTAAAGACGTGGCACTACCATCAAATAATGCCCTATCTCTTAATCGAGACCATAAAGTTTGTATCGTAACTTGTTCTTCTGAAACCATGTGTAATATGACATTATAATTTAGTTAACAAATTAATGCAAATTTCTGATAAGTTATTATAATAAGATCTTACTTTTGTGATACATATTATAGATCACTTCTCGAATGGCACCTGTATCCAATGTCGCTGTGTTGGTTACACGTTTAATATAACTCCGCTTTTTCTTGGGCGATTCTAAATTTTCATCACTTTTCACACCCTCGGAAATACGACTAACTGTCCTTAAACTAATTTTTAAAGCAGCAGCAACACGCTACAAAAAATGAAATAAAATTTCACTATTATTAATATACATTACATATAATTATTAGTAACCTACCTCTTGAACAGCATTTAAAGGCAACAAAGGCCCGTTGTTGTCCCTTTCTTGCTCAAAGTAGTGCATTAACGAGGCCACGAGTTCCTTACACCGACTATTTAACTGTTTGGGCATCTTTATATACCAAAATTGCCTTTATCTACTCGTAAAATGAATAATTTTGTTTTGAAACAAACAGTTGTTGATTTACAGTATGCGGGGCCAAAGGATTTATAAAGATTTGAAATGCCACAAATTGATTCAGTGTCAAAATTAATACAAATGTCAGTTCCCAGTTTAAATAAGTTTCAAGGTGACAATGTGTCAACGCTGCGAAATCGGTTTAGTGCGTTTACATGTCGATAAGTGATTGGAGCGTTTGCAAAACATTTTATTTCGCATAATGCGTCTAAATTTATCAGAAAGCAACTTATGTGATATTTTAATAACAATGTTTATATGACTATTAACCATAATAAGAGAGTAATGACCATTTTACAATTTATATATCACATTAATATGAAACTGCAATAGAGCAATTGTTTGTGATATAAACCTAGGCATTAGGTCGGGGAATTTTTATCGTGATGACGTGCACGCCACTTTGTTTGGCGTTGACTATAGCTACTTAGGCCCGTATCGTCAGTCGTCCCTACAATTGTAGGGCGCCTTTATGGCCTCCTTGATTGTCATAGTTTTCTACTTCTCCGTGTCAGCGCTCTATTTTGAGGTTATGCCACAAACATCTATTTGCATCAAATTGTGCTTGCTTTTGAGTTATATCATGTTTTGTCAGCCTGAAATTTCCTACAATTTAAAAAGAAAACATATCTTCACAATAGGAGAGCGCTGACGCTGACACGGGACAAGTGTAATCTAGAAATTTTTGAAGGAGAGAAAGCAGTATGACAATCAAGGGGGCCATAAACGCACCCTATAATTGTAGGGACGACTGACGATACGGGCCTTAGGAAAAGCAGATTTTTCTAATAACTAAAAATATGCTTTGATATACTTTGTATTTTGTGACCTTTGCCTTGCAAGAAATAATGATTTTTATATTTCGATGCACATTCCGAGGTTGATTTATTTTCTAATTCCCATTCAAAATTCAAATCAAAGATTATTAGCCACACTAATTCAAATTCAAATGAATCATTTGTCTCCGGACGTCCATACTCGCAGTGTTTAGTATACTGAAGCAGCGTTGCCAAGCTCCTAGGTTTAGATGGTTCAGTTTATACTAGTATAAATTTAGATTTATAACAAATATCCTTATGGGTACTTTCTATAGAGGTGCCATTTATTAAATCATTTCATCAGCTTATATTATGACTATTGAAACAAAAAAAATTGCGATACACCTTTCTGTCTATGGAAGCATCTTACCTCCTCAAGTTATTACAAGTTATTAGCAAATTTTATGGAACGTTTTCGGTACGGGTATTGTGTAAAAAATGTATAAAAGTTCAAAAAAATCTAAGGTGTCATCTTGCAGACTAGGTAGTTTTTAGGGCGCAAACAGTCATTCCACGTTTGCTCACTACAATCGTTGTGAACGTCCATCTATGGAGGAATCACTCAACTAAACTACATGCATTGTTGATTGCATATGTTTTGTGAAGCCGAGTGGTCTGTAGTTTTTATCTCTGAGAAGAAAGTTGGTTGAATAGCCAGATCGCATCTGGATGATTATGAGTATTGGTCTGCATGTGTGATATTTGGTGTGTGAAAAAATCATCATTGAATATGCTGCCAATGAAGCATATCTATTAGCTGTGCCCGACGGATTATTTATATGTTGTCCTTTCTGAAGACAGGTTATGTTCAAAGTTATAAGTAACGAAAAACTTTGAGGGGAATGACGGGAAATCATCACTACGCCCGCGTTGTGTGTAATTACTGTTAACATGTATATGATTTGTAATTCGACAGTGTACAGTGAATATAATTATTTCGTATCTCTCTCATTATTGAAATTCATCAAATTTGCATATGCAATTTCCAGAATGGATAAGAAAAAGTGGATGCATAACTAATTTCTGGCTTTGAATCTCAATTAAGTGTATTTGAGACAAGAACCCAATGTAATTATCATCAACACATACAACTTACAGCTTAGATTTCCAGCAATGCCATCTCAGAAGTAGATTTCACATCACATCACAGCCATACATTGATAACTGAAGCCTCATGACGTTTAGGCAACACGACTAAAATCAAATTCAAGCGGATAACCAAATGAAAATGGTATTTACCATTTTGGGTTGGTATTTACCGATCCGTTCAAGCGAGTGTAGTTATCAGTTTGGTTATAAGATCCGTGACGTCACGAATCAGCTGTTATATGTCATAGTTATCACCGCAAAATTGTGGTTTTTACTCAACTCCAGAGTAGTTTTATATTTCTGGTTATTATTTGAAATGTGACAAGTTACAATTTTGCCGAGTATTGGATATTATTAGTGTACTTCAGCTTCATTTTTGGGAAACTTGATACAGGCTGACTTCAGTTTTACCATAAAGTGGAGCACTTTATTAGTTATACTCATTACGGTTGTTGGGGACACTTTAAATGTAGTTCCTATGCTTAACAAAGTATCCTGTGTAGCCATATACCACAAGAATATTAAAATATGGCCATATAAACTCACTCGATGATATCCACCTGTATACGGTTTTGCTACTTTCTTTTGTCATCATTTCTGCTGAATCAATAAATGTTTTCTTTGGCATGCGGAAAATTTTAGAGAATTGAAAGTTATCATAGCTACAAAGCTATGGTTCGATCATTAAAAAAAATCTGAAAAAAAACATTTCTCCCATGAATATTATGAAAGGTTTCTTATTTAAACTTTCCATACACAGTTGTAGACGAAAAAGCACCGATTATTAAGTGATAATAAAAATAATGAGAGATTATATACGCGCTTTTCTAAAATAAGCAACTTGCAACAAAACCGCGGTTAAACCAACGCGTTCAAGCGATTCGTGTAACTGACGTCATCAACCCGCGTGTCATCTTGAACCATATTATAACCGCGGCACATAACACAGAAATTTTGGTTATTCGCTTGGATTTGATTTAAGTGCTAAGTTAACATCTTGTAGAAAAACCTAAATCAAATTTAAGCGGATAACCAAATGGAAATGGTATTTACCATTTTGGGTTGGTATTTACCGATCCGTTCAAGCGAGTGTAGTTATCAGTTTGGTTATAAGATCCGTGACGTCACGAATCAGCTGTTATATGCCATAGTTATCACCGCAAAATTGTGGTATTTACCCAACTCAGGAGTAGTTTTATATTTCTGGTTATTATTTGAAATGTGACAAGTTAGAATTTTGCCGGGTATTGGATATTTGTTATTGTACTTCAGCTTCATTTTTGGGAAACTTGATACAGGTTGACTTCAGTTATACCATAAAGTGGAGATTGGAGCACCTTATTAGTTATACTCATTACTTTTGTTGGGGACACTTTAAATGTAGTTCCTATGCTTAACAAAGTATCCTGTGTAGCCATATAACACAAGAATATTAAAATATGGCAATATAAACTCACTAGATGATGTCCACCTGTATGCGGTTTTGCTAATATCTTTTTTCATCATTTCTGCTGTATCAATAAATTTTTTCTTTGACATGCGGAAAACTTTAGAGAATTGAAAGTTATCATAGCTACAAAGCCATGGTTCAATCATAAAAAAAAAAAAATCTGAAAAAAAAACATTTCTCCCATGAATATTATGAAAGGTTTCTTATTTAGCTTTCCATACATAGTGGTAGACGAAAAAGCACCTATTATTAAGTGATAATACAAAAAATCAGAGATTATATACGCGCTTTTCTAAAATAAACAACTTGCAACAAAACCGCGGTTAAAAACATCGCGTTCAAGCGATTCGTGTAACTGACGTCATCAACCCGTGTGTCATTTCGAACCATATTATAACCGCGGCACATAACACAGAAATTTTGGTTATTCGCTTGGATTTGATTATAAATCTTGTAAACCCAGATAATTCAACCAATATAGCAGCACTGCCTAACACTACGAGGCTACTTCGTGTACACGCCGAGTATCGAGAATCGCGTCAATATTTGACAAGTCTGACAAATAGCATTTGAGGTATTGTTAGTTTGACAACTCTTGTCAGGTTTCTTGTTTGGTGCTAGCTAGATTATTTTCATTTCTGACTTTCATCCTGATAAAATAGCAAAATACTCTATTTTTTACTTATATCCTCAAAATGCTATTGATCTGTTGTATTTAGCTTAGTGCTAGGACATTTATAATCATGAATCGAGTTCAAAGCGGTAAGATACCTTCATGAAATTTTGATGTGTTCTGATTATTGGCTCATTTGTAGGTACTGCTCCACCACCAGGTGGAAAAGGCAAGGCAAAAGACTGGCAGTTGGAAATTCTTATGGAAAAACTAAGATCTAAAGCTGCTCAATACAAAACCTTGCCAGAGATATCAAAGAATGTTCGAATGAATCTTCTAGTATGTTGTATCACTTCTCTTTGAAACATTCTTCTATATTTACAAATTTTTTCAGGAAAAACGATACGCTTTGGATAGTGTAGAGAAGAGCCAACATCAAAAATGTCTGGATACATTACAACATTCCATAAAAGTCACTTCTTTGCAGAGTATGGTTGAACGATTAGAGAGTCTTACTAGACAACTTGGGTAAGGATTTATTCAACATTTATAGAAATTTCTACAAACTGTCATGTTTTAATATGCTCCCACATTTATATTTCAGCTTGAAATTTGTGGTAGAACCAGCTGGTGTATTCATATCATCTGATATGTTCTATCTTGAAATAGTGTTAGAGCCAACAGGGGCTGTGAAAGATGTAAAAATTCACCATGAAGGCAAACAAGAACAACAAAGCTGTACAGAGCTAGTAAACTGCCTTTCAAAAGGAGATTTTGCTGACTTTACTGCACAGTTAGAAGGATTTGCATCTATCTACCAGCTAAATGCTGAGAAGAAAGTAAAATGTAAAGCTTTCACAGCTTTAGGTAGGGTATTCGCAATATTTAACTTGAATAATTTTTTTATCAACTCTGTTACTATATTCTAGAATCACTAGAAGCTGATCTAAGTACCTTAGCTCAGCTACAAATGTTTATGAAGGAGCCCTTCAATCTCATCCACAAATCTCCAGTTGGCATTTTGGAGAAAAGGAAAGGTGGGCACCCTATGAAGTTAACATATTTTGTCTCACCTTATGATTTAATAAATGTGGAAAAGAATGATTTGGACCCAATAAATATAGAGACAATTTTAAGCAAAGGGTTAGGTTATAGTGTTACAGTTTGTATGGAAGGTTCAGCTGCTCACAAATTGCAAACTACTACTTTGATTACCATCAATAGGAGTATAAATGGTAAAGGGTAAGCTGTTTCCTATCAAATTAAAGAGTTGTTGAATATACATTATAATATTTTTAGCACCCCATCTTACACAAGTCTGTCGAACCAGAATAGTGCAGTAATTCCAGCTTGTTTTGTTCTAAAGTTGAATAAACCAATGCCAATGTGTCTTTCGTTAGTAAGGCAGATTCAACAACTGCAACAGTGGTCTGATATTGATAATGTTCCTCAACAACCACTGCTCAACCTTATTGTTACACACTGTAGTGAAGGGAAAGTACACTCTGCTAATAACAAGGGCATGTTTGTCGTAAGTAATAACATTTATTTTTTGTTTGTTATGTTGGTGATAATTTTATAGATACATTATGAAGTGTATGGAATTTACAGAACTTACATATAATTTTCAGAGCTTGTACAGAATTCCCTGAGCTTATACAAAATTTACAGAACTCACAATGAAATTTAAAGAGTTAGACAAAATTTACAGAACCTACACAGCATTTATAGAACTTACACACAGAATTTACATAACTTAGAATATATAGAATTTGCACCAAATCAGAAATCACACAAGATTTACATAACTTACTCAAAATTCAGAGAACTAGGTGACATTTACAGAACACATATTTTATAGAACTTAACTGAATTAACAGAACATTTGTAACACATAGAGAATTTATTCAGAATATACACAAAGTCAATAGAACTTTAACTTGCAATTACACAGAAGTCACCTTTACAGTGCTCATGCAGAATTTTCTGAAGTTGCACAATTATTTAATAACAGAATTTACCTTCATGTTTAAATATATCTATTTTTGACTAAATTTTAATTTTGCATTTCCAGAATCTTCCTGACCAGAATCACTGTTACTTCATGACAGAAAATAAAAATATGGATGGAGTTTTAGTAACAAGTATACCATTCACGCATCCAGCACATGTGGCAAATATTCTGTCCATTCTGAGAGAACAAGCTCTTTTCAATATAATTATCAGTAGCTGTGTTCGACCCAACAGTAAACAAGGCAAGTATAAATTATATGTTGAATAATTTTGCTATTTTACAGGCCTTCAATACTTATGTTACAATCTTTTAATTTTCAGATTTTGATAACATCACTATGTTTGAAATCAGTGCATTGTCTTCCAAACATATCTCTGTATCCTTGGAACATCCCATAGAAGAAAGTATGGCAACAGCAGAAATTGATCTCACAGACATTTCCAATCTTGTGTGTCGGGTTAGCGACCCATCTGGGGCACCAGATTCTGCTTCTGAGCTGGCAACCAGAGTTCTGAATAGGTAAAATTCGTTATTGTAATATTTGTTCATCTGGAAAAATTGCGTAAATAGCGTGTTTCAGTTTATTTGTAGGACCAAGAACGGGCAAAGACTGCCCTCCATTGTGGCATGACATCTTTAAAATTTGACCATACTTTTGCTATGGACATTAGAATTCTGAAACAAGTAGTAAAATGGATTTATTTAGCTCTAATAGCTACATAGAAATATTTTATACATGTATAGCATATACAAGGGAATTTTGTCTGGCTATAAATACAAATTAATGGCACATGGAATTTATTGTCATTGTGTACAAAAGTCATATAGTTTTGAAAAATAAGTGTAATCAACTTGAAAGTTTTAAATTATTTCAGAATAGTACTAGACAAGTAGTTAATTTCTTGTGGACCTTTATGTAAAACGAATTTGCAACTTTTGAAATAATCATTAGAATTCAAATGAAAATCAATTTTTCTTCTAGTTTCATATGAACGATACATGAAATTTCAGGTTGTAAGTTCATTCAATTTGGCAACAATCTCTTCGTAATTCGGTAAACAAAAATCATGACAAGGTATTTAATAATATAACATCCTACCAATTTACCTGTTTTAACATGTCTTTTATCATTGTTTGTGTACCTTCAATCAGAATAATTATATGCACGCATTTATGTTGTTTTATCTGTAGGCTATCAATTATTGAGGAATTCAGTGAGTATAAAATTGTAGAACATTCTCTAAGGTGACTTAGCCCTATACTTTTCAATTATTGAAGACAGAAAATCCAAATTTGGGGGTTGCATGTTATAGTTAAATTTACATTTTTTGACATATCCGCTTGCTTTGACGTACTTCCGGTTTGAGCGGAAACGGCTCCAACTTTCGATTTTTAAATGGGACAACCTATATATTTCTACTGATTTCGATCTAGAATTACATTCTGAACTGAACCACGCGTCACTTGTCAATATTTCACATCTAGAGTCATTTTTTTTCAATTTTAATTTTTTGGCAAAATACGATTTTGAGGCGACCGACCTTACAGTCGTTTTAGGGACTTAAAACTTGCAAACACTAATTTTTTCAGTTTACTTGATTTTTTCAAATAGAAAGGGGGGCTTGTCGGCTTTTTCTGAGATACTATTTTCTTACGAAATATTTTACACTACACACTCTTATTTTATTTTCACTATTTTTCTGAATAATCGAGAAAGTTGAACTTTGCCGTGATCAAGGAGGAGGCCACTTAGAACCTTAGTGACACATTTTTGGATTTTTTTTTGTTATAATAATGATAGGGTATGTATTTAATTCATGTGTATAGTTTACTCCAACATAGGCCAACACGTCTATTTCCTTTTCTTCAGTGACGATAAAGTTATTGACATTTTAACTTCTGGTTCGTTTACAAATTTTGTATTTAGAAAACAACACCTTCAATTATTGTTTGTCACGGATAACTAGAATAATAGGACTTAGTGCATACGTACACCGAATGCAGATACGTGTTGTTTGTTGTTATGTATGATCGTTTCTTGAAATATTCAGAAAAAAAGTCAAAATAAAATAAGAGTGTGTAGTGTCAAATTATTCGTAAGAAAATGAAGACAAGCGACCCCATTTCTATTGAAAAAATCAAGTAAACTGAAAAAATCAGTGTTTGTGACTTTTAGAATAACTTTTAAACGACTGTACGGCCGTTCGAATCAAAAATGAAGCGATTAACAGGATCCATGGCATTCTAGATCGAAAAATAAAAATCACTTTATTTGTCAAATATTGACAAGTGAGGCGTTATTGAATTCAGAATGTCATTATCGATCGAAATCAGTAAAAATATTTATAAAGTCGAACGTTGGAGTCGTTTCCGTTCAAACCGGAAGTACGACAAAGCAAGCAAATATGTGAAAAAATGTAAATTTATCTATAATACGCAAACACCAAATTTCGGATTTTTATCTTCAATAATAAGAAAGTTATAATGGTGAGCCAGCCACCTTGGAGAATCACCCGATATAGGAGGTGAGGCGGAACGATTGCATTGAAAATCAACTTTTAAGAATATGAACTTAATGCAACAGATATTCTATTGGAACTAATTTTATTTATTAGTTTTTCGAAATGAATTTCAAGTTCAGTTTTGAATCAACTACAATTCCTAAATATTTAAAACCCTTTAGAAATTTGTTTACTTCATTTTCACTCTATTTTGTTACTATCGTTTTGTCTAATATGAAACAAATGCGGGGGAAGTAAATTTCTTTCTTGGACATATCTGGTTCACCTACTCAGATTGTAATTTTAACAAGTTGGAAAATATACCACCGCTGATAATGATTTCTTTTCAGGAGTTTCAGTTTACCAGTAACGATGCGTGCCATTTTGAAGATGTGGGAAAGACAGAGTGTAGGCAGGACAAATCATTTCAGTGGACATGAAAATTTTAGTTTACCCCTCGGTTCTGGCGACCCCGGAGGGCACAAAGTAAGTTTTTTTTCATGGAATTATATTTTTTATTGTCAAAAAAGTGAATATTGCTATGAAATTTGTTACATGAGCAAGTAGAGAAGTCTAACTGTCGAAATTGTAACTTTTTTTTACGTAGTAAGGATGCAGATCATAATAGTAGTTTTCTTTTTGCAACTGAATGACTCGCCACACGAGTGATTCTTCTCAGATGTCAAAAGGTAATGTCAAGTGAGAATTCCTTTTTACAAGCATGGAAATTGTATCTAGAAGTCAGCTTTCAGGGTTCTATGGAAATGTTGTATTATTATCAGTGCATTTCTAAAAATCTGCAACTTACGGCCGTATCGTCAGTCGTTCCTACAATTGTAGGACGCCTTTATGGCATCCTTGATTTTCATAGGTTTTTCTGTCCTTCAGACACGCTTATTCGATATTTTTGAATTCTCGTACGACATCAGAAAGGCTTGCATCAGGTTTTTGTAGCCTATCAGTGACAACAGAAAAAGGCTTCAGAATCGCTAAATAGCCTTCTTTCTTTTCAAATAGATATTTGACGTTTTTTCTGTCACTACGGCATCGATTCCATTTTTATGCTCCTCGTTAATTTTCAGAAGTTTTGGCTACTATTCAATGAATGACTGTAACCAGTCGCCGATGAATTCCACCCCACGTCATTAGATATATCAAATCTTTTGTCTCAACAATTTTTTTATATGTCGCCGAGTAGATTTTCTCACTATAAATCTAGACAACATAATTTTGGGTGAATATAAAAAAGTAATGAAGATAAGTTATATCAAAGTTCTTTATTGCCATAATTAAGGAAAGAAATCAGTACAAATTATCAAATATAAAAAAATTGATTTAATCGAAAAAAAGCAAGTTTTTAGATTCTTTCAAAAAAAAAATTAGTAAAACAAATCGTGATTTTTTTTAACACTGGGCTTGAGGAGGGATGTGAAGAATCTTCCCTCACTTTGACAGATGGAACGCAGTGAGATGTGAGGCGACTTAAAGTGGAATATGATCGTCTGAGAAAGTGGCCAAAATGAAGTTATAAACCGAGCCTTTCTTTTTTTTGTAGGATTCAACTGGGAATAACCTGGCAGAATTCGGGGGGTTAAACGACAAGATCAAGCAAGAACCTTCCAGTAACGGCGGCCATACGATGATGATGCAAGCTAACCAGGGCATGTTCCTTAATGAATCCATCATGGCGTCGAATTTTCAAAATTTCCCACCTTCCGATGGGGTGCTGACCAACATAGAACTAGCTAATATTCTGTCAGGTAAGAAACTCTTATTATACAAGTACTAGATAATAAATATGTTTTATAGGATTTTGCTTTCAAATAACACCTACTAGTAGAAGATCCGAATTAGAAGCTACCATCAGTCGTCTGTTTAATGGATGAACAAAATTTATATCAAATTTAGAATGTTGAAAAAATATAGCAAGTGGATTGGCTAAAAAATTCCTCACGATACTATGATTAGTTGAAGAATTTTAAACCTGATAAATAACTGTTTGAGATATATTGAATTTACAACACAATTGAAGTGTTCTATAATAAATCCTGTTTTGAAAGTTAAGAATTCTGAGTTGTATACTAATATGCGGTCAATAGATGTTCAGCCAGATGTTTGAATAACTATTTGAGGGAATTATTTATGAACAGATCATCGAAGAAAATATAATTGTATGCAAATTTCAAGCTGGATTCAAGAGTAAACACTCAACTGAAACGCCAATACAAATGGTTTTACAGGACTGGAGGAGATGTATGGACAATAGAAAACTTACAGTGACAATGTTTTTGGCATTTAAAGGGGTATTTGAAACTATTGACTGGGACAAACTACTTACAAAATTGCATCACTGGATTTAAAGCATCTGAATTCGAAATTCTACAAAAATACTTAAGTGACAGAAGTCAAAAAGCCAAATTGGATCTACATTCCAAGTTCTAAAAAGATTTCTGTTGGTGTACCGCAATCTAGTGAACTAGGTTCACTAAAATTTATTTTATACATTGATGACATTTGTGATATTTTAGATTATTGTAGAATTCAGGTACTTAATATACATATCAGATGAAAATACAGACATTGCTTTAAAGATGCTAAATTCTGACTTGACAAAAATCATAAATTGGTTAAGTGTAAATAAACTAAAAATGAATGCTTCTAAAACAAAATTTATAGTTATAGGGGTATACCTCAATGAAAATAGTATCAGTTAGGATAAATGGTGAAATAATTGAAAATTTTAATCAATTGAATATTTGGCGATATATATGTTGAAAGAAAACTAAAGTTTGAGGATCACTATGAATACGTTATTTCAAAAATTGTCAAAAACAAATTACTTTTATAAGGCTACCTCTACTACATGCGTATATTGTTCAACTATCTTGTTCACTGCCAATGAAGCTGTATTCTCAAAATTACATGACCTACAAAATAAAGTCATAAGAATAACATTGAATAAAATTAAATACACCAAAATAAAATCTATGTTACAAGAATTGTAGTGGTTGAATATAAAAAATTCCATATCATATTTGGTTCTTATTTTTGTATATAAAATAAAAAATCTTTCCTCGCAACACATTACATTGAATCGAATACAATTATTATACAGGTGTAAATACAGATTTCCATTTATAAAATTTTAATAGTAATTAATAATAATTAATTTAATAAACTAAATAATGCTATAATAAAGTCTGGTAGTAATTTAAAGAATATTAAAGGAAGATTACATAGACAGCAAAAATTCTTAGAGATACAAGTTTTTTTTTCTGAATATTTGTATGTTATGTAATTGTTGTACTTTTTCAAAACAATGTAGTTTTAGCAATCATTCTGAATAAATCTCAGATAATTAAACAAAAAATATTTTTATCTCGGGAAATGCTCGGAATTCGGTCGAGTTCAACAACAATTTTTAACCATTTTTTATCACATCGATACGATCATAGAGTTGAAATTTGGCGCAACCATTATATCAGAGTCAGTAAGTCATAATCCATAAAACAATATTGAAACAATTGTTGACTCAAATTTTGGAAAGACTTTGTATAAAGAATAATTTTTAATGATGGCAGATACTCCCGAGAACATTCCCTCAGCGTCCAAGGGCAAGCGGAAGGTGGGATCCGAAGATGCAGAACCAATGGACAGCAACGATTCTACACAGTCGATGTTGCAAGATGCCGCAGAAGCGACTGAGGAATCCAATTCGATGGATAAACTTGATGAGGATGATGATGCGGATGAAGACGAAGAAATTGCTGAAATAGGTGAATATTTATTATTGAAATTGAGGAGCCTGGAAGTAAAAGGGTTTAAGTACATTTTTAGTAGTTCTGAGATAAATGGCTTCAAAGTTTACTTGAATTTGAAAATTCCAGGAATGAATTTATCAAAGTATGATACTATATTAAGTTTATTTAAATTCCAATAAAACATTACAAACAAAAAACATTTTCTTAATTTTGCTTTTTTATTGTCATTTTTGCAAAAATGTACTTGAATCATTATACATGTTACAAAAATTATGGTGGTGACATGATTCAAGTGCAACTTCCGTACTAAACCAAACATTATTTAAAAATAATCTATAACAAAATCAGAATCTAATATTTGGATGTCTTCATCATTTTCTTCATCGGAATCAGCTGATCTTGGTTGGGGTTCATCTATATCAGGTACTTTGTCAGGGTCTGTGTTTGTTTCTTTTTTCCTTTTTTTGTTAATGCTTTCCCATCGTGCTTCATGTTTTTATAAAATGTATGGTGAATTGGCGAAATGTATTCCAATAAGCTAAGCAAGTTTTTGTACTTGGCGACTTTAATCTTTATTGAAGTGCCATTCAAAGGCTTTAGTATTGAAAAGTTAAAACACGGATGCCCAACTTTTGACGTTGCCATTAAGCAACTGCTAAACTTTACATCAATCTTTATGGTACTCTTGTATCGAAATGTTAGTCTTTCACTTTTATAGTAAGCAAACCAGCAAATTTCTTTCCATTTTAGCGGGTAACCGTCACTATATTTTTTTTTGGATCGTTCATAATTTCATTGAACGGCGAAAAAGAGTAAAATCGTCTTTGTTCATATTGTACAGAATAAATTTGGCCGATGTGCCTCTTATTACAGTCTCCCAATCTGCGGGGACAAAAACTTGAGAGATTAACCTTTTTTTCTTCTCGATTAAGCCAAAACTACGGTCACATTCCATGTAAGTGTGCCCGGGTTCAAGGAACTTGTGATGTTTTTATTCTTATTTTGTCCTCCACACGAATCACTGTATGCAATAATCTTCGTAACTGTAGATGGAAGGCTTTGCACAAATTTTATTAAACATGATCCTATCTCTTGTGAGCCCCTGGATGCAATAGTTTCATTCCATACAAACATATAACTTTTTCCAGTCAGTAAGTCAAAGACACAGAAATTATACGTCCATAATTGACGAAGATAAAATACTTTAGAGGTAGTTAACAATGGCGTCGGCAATGCCTGTTGCAAATCAAAACAAATTACAGCCGTATTTTTAGAATCATTTTTATTTTCAGCAATATCAGCTTTTTTGGCATCAGTTGCTTTCTGGGCCTTTCTTTGGTGCAGCTCGAGGTCTTGCTTGGCATTTTTAATCACGTCTTCATTTGTAGAATATTTTATTAAATTTTGTAAATTGTCACAACGACTGCAGGTATCACTATAGGGCTTGTGGAATCTTAAATTGAATTCCGTATTGAAACTATGCCTGTAATAGGACTCTTTTACTGGTAATTCTTGTTTGTCAATACAAAACTCCTGATATAATTTGTACATCTTATTGATACTTAATTCTCCTAAGAGATACCTTGCGTTCCCAATCAGTACTCATTTTGTTTATTATTATAACACTACCAACACTGCAAAATGCGTATTTTTAACTAAGAATAAGTAAAACGTTGAAATCACGTCACACGTAAAACATTAAAAATAGTTGCCAAAGCCTTAGAAGTAAAATGGTTCAAGTGCACTTGAATCATTTTACCACATACTGTATTAGTGGATATTTTGATATGTTCTCAAAGACTATGAGAGATGGCGCCAGGGAACGTGGCCTGCATTTAAATCATTTTACCACCAAGTTAGTATATGCTTTAGGTATGATATTCTGCACACAGACCATTTAATTAAAAAAGTGCACTTGAACCTTTTTACTTCCAAACCCCTCAATTATCCATTTTACAAAAAAAGTCGTACAGTCTAGTGAGATATTTTTAATAACCAGAATAGATTGATTATATCCATTTTTCAAGGTTTGTTCTAGTTTTTCGTTCGTGCTCTTGGATGAAACGTATTAGAGTTTTCTTTGTTTTCTTTTCTTCTGTGTTACCTGACAATATTTGAGCTTTGTTCCGAAGACCGATAGAATGTGGCCATAACTCTGCCATGTCAAGCTGTCAACACTAGAGCTACATCTGATGAAGGTCTTACCTCTATGGCAGAAGTAGTGTCATATTCTAATGAGCGGGCGTGGAACATGTATTAAATAACACTAGAGTACCGTCACATCTTGCGCATGAAATTTAATGTTTGAACTTTATGGATAAGTTTTGTCACTTTTCATTCACAGGAAAGAAATGACAAATTTCACGCAAGTTTTAAATTAAATTGAATTTAAAATATAGAGGGTAGGGTTTAGCATGGCACTATCGCGCATAATTCAAATGACCTTGGTTTTGTTGAAGTTTTCCATAACCATTTTGCATTAATCTGTGAGTGTCTGTGGGCTGCTTTCTGCCTAAGATAGATAACGTGTGGTTTCAACAAGATGGCAGCACATGCCATACATCCCGTGAAACAATATAATGGGCTATTTGACATTTTACTAAGTAAGTCCAAAATAGTTAATATTTGTTCTAATAGACCAAAAAAATTAATACTATGTTTTTTCAGATCTAAAAGATCGTGAAACTTTAATTTGAAAATATATTTTTTCTTAGACTGGCAAAAACGCTGTCCGTCGTGTTGAATGTGCTGTGACGTCGTATAATGTGTAAACAGCAACTCACAGCAGCATAAGCTTTTAAACATATAAACATGACTTCTGCTAATTTATAGCAAAAATATAGTAATTATCATTATTGAATCATCCGAGAAAGCAAAAACACGTCGATAAAAAGCCCAGGAAAGCTGAGGATTAGAGTGCCTAGGAAAATCAATATTCGCAATTGCTTGGAGCATACCTTATGTTCGCGACATATTTTACATCTTACTGTGCAGATTTGTTCGTCTCATTTAAGTTTGGACGTATCCAAAGGCATCATCACCGTATTATTCCCTTGCAGATGTGTAAGAAGACATATTACAATATTAGATAAAATTATTCGGAGGTTATGAGGTTATTTTTGAATGACTTCTGTCATGTCGTGTAAAATTATGTAAGTGTATTACTTATTCTTACTTTTATGTTTATAATTATATCAGAAGCACTGTACTCACATAGAAGTGTTGATGCTCCCCAGCTTAGCAGAGCAGAAGTTTGGGTTGAAGGCACAACATTACCAACTCAGTGTGTCAATTTTCGGCAAATTTGTGCTATCTGCTTTTACGAATCCTACGTCCATGATCGTTTTTTTTTTCATTATAACGAGAAATCTATAACTTTATGCGTTGATTTAGTTTCTTGGAAATATCCAAGGAAAACAACGTTAGTTCTCAAGTGACATACGGATGGCGTTGCTTTATTTACAATTTCTATGACGTCACATAATTTCATATTAAATATACAAAATATTTTTTTAAATTGGACTTACATATCCATCGTGCGCTTTTAAAAATTGAAATCGATATATTTCGTTTCCTAAGTGTAATATTATAAGAAATAATAATCTATTCTATGAAATTAGCTGTTAGAAGTAGCTTATTACTGCATAAGGCATTTCCTGATGGTGTACTTGGTTTGGTGACCAGAATTGGTGCTCTAGACCAGGGCTGTCCAACATACGGCCCGCGGCCCGCGAACTCCTTTCTTGCGACCCGCTTCACGGGTCATGTATACATCACATGTATAAATTACTCTCAAATACCTAATATGCACAATTCTTACATTAACTCAGTAATAATGTTGTATAGAAAGATTTTATAATGCGGCCCTCCAAACTGCATTTTTTTTAAGTGGCCCTTGGGCCACACTAAGTTGGACAGTTCTGCTCTAGACAATGTCATTTAACACCATCGATTTGTTAATGGGTTTTATTTGAAGTCAAAGCCCCATGCCAAGAAGCCCATGCATATTGTCCATTGAATGTGGCGCGTGTTCGTCACCAGTGGCTATCACAACGCACAATAGCTCCTTAACATTCAAGTACCACTGAACACTTAACTGACTCTTATTCCTTGAAAGGTCTTTTCTCAGGCGATCTCACTGAGAAACAGCGCAAATCCCAAAGCCGTTCGCCCAGTGTGGACCTCTCCGAGAAATCATCTCCGCTGGTGGCACCGTCCACCGTAAGCATCACTCCGATCTCGTCGTCCAATCCGTCTGCAGGTGGTTCAAGCACCTTTAGCGTAAGTACCACCAAGGATAAACGAGACGCTGCGCCTGCAGTTCCCAGTTCGGTTACGATCACTGCCATTACTACTACGCAAGCGAAGTCAACGTCTTCATCTTCCGAAGAGAAGTCTAAGGAGAAGAAGAGCAGCAAGAGTAGCAAGGAGGATAAGAATAAGTGAGTACTGATTGACTTAGACTGACCAGCTATTTACCTCAACAGACTTCAAAGCGTGATGAAATGTCCCGAACGCTAGGATATAAAATAAAATAGTCAGTGACATCTTTGTTTTGAGTCGGTACTGTTGATACATTTAGAACTATTTACACTCTATTTACTGGTAAACTCTAAATTTAATAATTTTCCAACACGTTATTTGAGATATTCTACTCGACTTTATTTCAGGCTAGAAAAGAAGCGCAAGCGGAAACGCGAGGAGAGCCCTATGGGCCCCCCAGAGAAAGTCCCTCACAAGGACCCGTTAAGCAAACCATCAACGATCAGCGTAAAGGCCGCATCAGAATCACCTCCTATAGGTGGGACTTCTACTCCCACGTCCCCCAGCATGATGCGCAAATTCAACAGTTCTCCCACTTCGAATCGTTCAGTGTCCTCCGTCAGCGGAAAGTTGAGTCCCAGCCTGATGAAATCCGGCTCGAAAAGTGGGTCTTCGTCGTCGCATCAGAGTCCCAAACATTCGCCTGCGCATGTGCCTAGCAGCCCTAAGCACAGCCTGGCGGGGATTTCCAGGTGAGAATGCATGAAAATAATTTTACCCATATAGTTAGTAATCAAAGGGAGTTGTTTTTATAGTCTGTTATTATAAATTAGAAAATAATTTTTTCGGGATGCATTGGTAGCTCTTGCAATGCTTCTGGCTGGTCTTCACTCCAGATGCGGCAATTTTGCTTGTTAACGTACCCAGTGAACCAGAAATGAGCTTCATCGCTGAACACAATTTTTCGATAAAAATGTGGATCTTCCTCCAACTTTGCCAGCGCCCATTCACCAAATTGGAAACGTTGTGGGAGGTCGTGTGGCTTCAATTCTTGCACCAGCTGTATCTTATAAGGTTTTACACCCAAATCCTGTCGCAAAATTTTCCACGTAGTGGAGTAACAGAGGCCCAATTGCTGCGAACGGTGGCGAATCGACATTTCACGGTCATCACTAACACTGGCGGATACAGCCGCAATATTTTCTTCAGTCCTACGTCTGCGTGTTGGTGGTTTAATGTCCAATAATGTAAAGTGGGTTCGAATTTAGTCACAAGCTTCCGAATAGCTCCCTCAGTAGGCCGACCAAATTGCCCATAAATTGGAAGCAGTGCTCGATGCACTCGCTTAACCCAGCATGAACTTTGATAGTAAAATTCAATAATTTGCAAGCGTTGTTCGTTCGTAAGTCGATTCATGGTTAAATTATAGACCAAACTGAACAAGTTTGACAATGACACAAGACACGATTCAAGCGTCATTTGTCAAAAACAGTGTAGCCAAAAAGATACTAGCAAAAAAATCACCCATTACAAACTGAATTTATTAATATTATCCACTTCTACCCTATTTTGCCCCAACTTATACAGGATGCTATTTAAAATCTATCAAAAATCCTGTATTGAAGATGTGGATTCCTATTATTTTTTTTTTAAATAAGTATACAAACATGAGAATCACATAATTACAAGCTTTCATTTATTAAGCCCGTTTTAATAGAAATTTGTTGATCACAAACTAAAATGTCACTTGTGGCATATTGTTACCCAAGATCACTTCCATTTAAACCGGAAAGGAGAGATAACCAATTCAACTTTCCAGAAATGCCTCTTGATGACTAAAGATGTCCCAATGTTGTAGGGATACCTTTATTTGCCAAAAAAAAAATACAGCATGTTTCCAATTTTCGTTATCACCCGGTATAGTTAAAGGTTAGTTTTGGTAACGCCATGCATATTTTTTAAATGTCTCCATTTTCAGCCCCAAACATCACGGAGCATCGCCAAAGCACCCGTCTGCGAGCGGGTCTGGGAAACCCAGCATGTCGACCTTGAAAAGTGCCGCGAATTCGCCATCGTCTGGCAAATCGTCCGGCAGCGGCGGGGAATCCAAGAGCAGCAAATCAGGGTCGAAGGAAGGCAGTGGTGGTGGGAGTAGCGGGAGCAGCAGTGGCAGTAGGGATAAGGACAAGAAAGCATCCAGTGTGTTCGGCGTTAGCAACTCCAAGAATAAGAGCGCTTCACTCAAAGGTGGGGGTTTTTAACACGGTTGCGACGATTTAAATCATTTGATTTTTTCAATTTTAATCGTGATTTAAATCAAATTATAAATTGCTGTAAAACAAGTCACTGAAATAACTCATCAGAAAATTCATAAAAAGAAAGAAGCTTAAGATCAACTAATCCTCATCAGTCCAACGCAAATATTCATAAATTGAACTTAAGAAAAGTCACTTTACAACAACAAAAATAGTTTAGAATTTCTAATATTACCTACATGAATTAATAATAAATTCAAATTTTTAATGAATACATTAATGGTATTACAATATCGATATTTCAGCAGCCCAAAAAACGTATTATAATGATGTCTGGGCTCACGTTCCAGGTTGACCCATTTTTTTTTTAAACATAATACCTCTATACATGGTTACTAAAAATTGACCACCTTGTTTTAAGATGAAATATTTTGAACTCTTCCAAACTACTTCTCGTCTGAACTAAAGGAATTTAATAAGGTGCTTCTCGAGTTACAAGCATCTGAAGCTACAGATTATTATCTAGCGATTTACTATATGCTGTGAATTGGTACCTGAATTTCATAACATTGCTATACTTTATGTAAAATTAGATGATGCTCATGACTCTATATAAGATAATTTCAACTTCTTGATTCTATTCGTAATTGCGCTGTAGGCGACGGTGAAAAATGGCGGCGGCAATCCCTAGCCTTTTGGAGTTATGTTTAATTTTTAATATTCATCTTTATCTTGTATAAATGTTCCAATAAATATTACTATTACTTAGCGGTCAGACAAACATGGAGGATTAACAACTCCCATACTTCTACATTTTGATAATACAGGGTGTTTCAGTTTATTGTTGCATTCGATAGAACCTTTAAAATTAATGCATAAAGTCTATATAAACATGGGTCGAAAAATGCGTGGCTTCCGAAATTTACTTTCTAAAATAGTTTTTTTTTTTAATATTTCGAACAATATTTGATGTATAACAGTGAAAATTGGTATACAAGGGTTTTTTGGTACGACAAAACGAACCATGGGCATAGTTTTACTATAGCCGCTAGAGGGCGCTCTCTACTGTACCTGTAGTGTATTAAAATGACCGAAAATTTTTTCTTAGTGCAATTTTTTGCTTTTTGAATAAAAAAACTGATAAAAAAGCTCTCCTGTGAGTTTTCGTTATAGTTAGCCGTTTTTGAGATATTTCGATTTTTAAGGATCGATGCATTTTTAATTATTTATGGGAAAATAATGTTTTTTTACATTTTCGATTTGGGCATTACAAGTAATTAAGATGATCGTTTAGATTGTGTTTTTAAACACAGCAATAATTCCTAACTCCAAATAAACACTAAAAACAGAATATTAATTTGTTTAATTTTCCAATATTATTTTTAACAAATTAAATTACTTATTTACAACTATAATGCTATTGGATAGTTAGGACATACATACAAAATCTAAAGTAGTTGCTCGAAATGTAAACCCAATTGTTCAATACACAATTCACATCTACGAATGATCGAACGTGGTATAGCATTATTCAAATAAGGCCTTATTTCATCACATGCATTCCTGATTCTGTCTATTAGCATATCTCTTGTGGTTACAGGAGTCTGGTACACTTTTTCTTTCAGAAATCCCCACACAAAGAAATCTAATGGATTTAGGTCAGGGGATCGTGGAGGCCAGTCGCCTGGTCCTCCACGGCCGATCCATCTTACTGGATAATTTTCGTCCAGCCAGTTTCTAACTATTCTCGAATAATGAGCTGGACAACCATCAAGCTGGAACCAGGCCAATCTTCTTAAATCTAACATATAGTAACATCATCCCACATATTTGCATGTTCAGCCTTTTAAAATTCCAAGAAGGTCGCAGCATTTAACCTTGCAGGCAAAAGGCAGGGTCCAAATAGTCGATTACGGTAGATACCAATCCACACGTTCACACTAAACATTGCCTAAAAACTCCCTATTATTATCAGTTCTATCAAGAATCCAGTGACAAAATGTTATTCTTCGTTCTCCGTCCCCTGGCTGTAGTTCTTGCACAGGTTGCAAATGGTAAGGACGTCTATGGTCATTTCTAAGAACACGGTGAACATGGCTTGCTGAAATTCCTAAGGCACCAGGAACTCTCCTAACACTTGTGGTCGGATCTCTATCAAACTCACGCAGAATCATACGGGTAAATCTGCGCTGACGAACATTTATGTTTTAATCCCTTTGGAGATTTCCAAAACCATTTTCAATTCTTTGGCGATGCACTCTTACAAATACTGAGCGAGTTGGATAACGTCTGTTTGGAAATCTTCGTGCGTATTCTCTGGCTGCTTCTGCTGCATTTCCATTTACAAAGCCATACACAAAATGAATATCCGCTAACTCTTGATTGGAGAATAAAAATGGCATTTTTATAAAACTTACAAAAAACAGGTAAAAGAAACTAAATTTCGTGCATTCACAATTGCAAAAAAACGTTTCAGGTTTCAACATACAACAAAACTAACCGTCAACTAATTGACGTTTAACCTTATTCTGCTTTCAATTTCAAAAATATTTGCAGGCACAGCCTACTTCTAAAAATTATCGAGATGCTGACTTTTTAACGTTATTTGATCATAAATAATTAAAAATGCATCGAACCTTAAAAATCGAAATATCTCAAAAACGGCTAACTATAACGAAAATTCACAAGAGAGCTTTTTTTATGTTGAAAAGTGCGAGGAATCAGTTTTTTGTTCAAAATGCAAAAAATTGCACTAAGAAAAATTTTTCGGTCATTTTAATACACTACAGGTACAGTAGAGAGCGCCCTCTAGCGGCTACAGTAAAACTATGCCCATGGTTCGTTTTGTCGTACCAAAAAACCCTTGTATACCAATTTTCACTGTTATACATCAAATATTGTTCGAAATATTTAAAAAAAACTAGTTTAGAAAGTAAATTTAAACACCCTGTATTTCGGAAGCCACGCATTTTTCGACTCATGTTTATATAGACTTTATGCATTAATTTTAAAAGTTCTATCGAATCTTAAAGTTATGCAACAATAAACTGAAACACCCTGTATAGTCAAGCATGATATTTATCCAAAAATTGTCGGTTCCGTCTAGAAACAAAATCTTGAAGTACCTATTGGGACACCCTTCAGTAGTTCCTATCCCACTTCTAATATTTTTAATCTCCTTATAATTAACTAGTTGTTATCACATCAGTCAAACCATTGGAAGGAGGCAGCTCTGGCAGCGGAGGCGGTGCAGAAGCGCCATCTAGTGGCACGCCCGACAGTCTGCCGTCGCCGAGCAGTGGCGGGAACAGCGCTGATGCCAAATCGAGTGCGAATCAAGCCAGGAATCGCAAGGGATCTTTGTCGGCGATCGTTGATAAGTTAAAGGTAATTCGAAGTATATATCGAGCAAAAAGTGAGCTTTCGTGCTCTTGATGCCAAATTACTCCATTTTACTTCTTAAGCAAAAATTGGCGTGGAAGTATTGTAATCGCGAAAAATTTCGAAATTGAGACATGTCTTTTGGATCTTATATGACCTGTACATCGTGAAAAGCCATGTCACTCATTTCCGTCGGTCTGTCTGTCTGTCGGTCTGTATACTAATTTTATAACCGCCTATAAATTGAGAAGTACCGCTCGGATATTTATGTTTCTTTTAGTGTTTTCTCAAAACTATTTTGTATCAAAAATTTCAAAAGAGACAGAGTTCCATGTAAATCTCGGCAATCATTCCGTGCATAAATAACAGACAGAAATTTTCTTCTATTTCTTCCATGCACTCAATGAGTGATTCTCTGTTCTCAAACACTACATTAATTGTTCGAATATTAAAATAGTTGTTTGCTCCTTGTGGAATTTTTTCCCCACAATTCTGTTCAGTACCTCTACGCGTTGAGGAGAATTATTAAAAAATCCCGGAATATCTTTCAAATCCCAAAAGAACACCCGAACTTGAGGATTAGCGGAAGCAGCTTGAGGCATAATCAGGTTTAACTTAAGCGCATAGAAATGCACATAGTAAGCAAATCGATCTTTGTTTAATTTTTGCCTGTACTCCAGCATTATGTCCGCTCATTACCGCGGCTCCATCATAGCTTTGTGAAATCAGTTTGTTAGAGAAATTTCCTATTAATGGATCTACGACGCTCAAAATATGTCTTGTGAGAGTATCAGCGTCACATTTTTCGGGATTAATATAATTCCAAACGTTCTACTGGTTCGCCGTTAAATTCGTATCTGAAAATTGTTACCAGTTGGGTTTTCCCCGAAATGTCCGTTATTTCATCTGCTATTATCGCCAAATACGAAGCTCTGTTAATCTGTTTTATTATTTCTTCATGACAAACTTCAAGAATACAATCCAGTAGATCGTTTTGTATTTCTTTCGAAGTTCCTTTAAATATTGAAGCATTTTTTATGTGTTAGCTTAAGGTTGTATCAAGCTCAGCAGAAAAATTAATCAGTCCACGAAATATTTCCGGGTTTTGGGAGCTCTCGGTTTCGTCGTATCCCCGTAGCGCCAATTCAAGTGCTCCGCAAAATTTTATACCGAGCACAGACTGACCGATCAGGCCGGTATTGTTTCTATTTGTGTGATAACATGGAAAATAAATAATGATCAAATTACTACTGCTTTTTTCTGTTAAGACAAAAGTTTTGTCAGTTCTGCAGCTCTGCAGAGCTTAAGGGTCAGCCGCCCCTGCTTTTAGACATAATAAGTCACATATTTTGCCTACGTCTGCAATGGAAATAGAAATATAATAGATTTGCTTTATATAGTACAGAGGTCGACGATTCATCGTACCTAAGAGAACCTACCTAATCGCGATTCGATTTCGCCCTTTGAAACAATTTGACTCATCCCTTTTCTTGGAAACCTCCAACGGAGGCGTAGGAAGTATAGAGTCAATCTACTTGGCGCCATTTTTCACTAGGTAAACGCTCAGCATTGTGACATGGCCACCGACTTGAGCAGCAAATCTAGCACCGGCGGGGGAAGTACCGGTAGCGGCGGTAGCACCAGCAGCAGCAGCAACAGCGCAAATCGTACTAGTGGAGGGGGAACCAGTGGAGGAGGAGCGACAACTAAGACTGCAAGTGGAGGGGGAGATTCGAAAAGTGGCGGGAAAACGGGAGATGTCAAGAACTCTGAGTATATGGTCAAGCCTAGCTCGGATGGGATGAAGATTACGATTAATAAGACCAGGACTAAGGAGAGTTCGTCGTCGTCTTCTGGGGCTAAGTCGTCCGGGTCCAGTGGTGTTAACAAGGGTGAGCTTTTTACATTCGTTTGCGGATCATTTGAAAAAAATCAACTTGGTCTTGCTGACTACACTTGTTAATAAAAGCAAGAAGTCGATTTTAGTTTGAAAATCCCAAGAATGTTTGAGATATTTTTGTGATAGAAATTTTTTTTAGGATGTTCACTAATATTGGCAGGAAAATTTAGTGGCAGATTTTGCACGCAAGAATATGAAAAAAAGTTTATACAGGGTGCCCTTAAGGTTCGGACTTTCCTTTATAGTTATTTAAAAATAGCGTGTGACTTGGTGCTTTTGTGACTAACGTAACAAATACACGATTTCTAAGCAGATTCCATATGGCTCTGAGAAAACGGAATTATTTTTGCAAATATCAGTGGCATACAACTTTTCGATAAAAGTCATCCTGTATCATAAAAACTAGCAATTTCTGAACGATGTAAGCCGGAGACGGAGGATAGACCAAATCATAATAGTTATCAGAACAATATAAAAAAAAATTGACTCGTTCAAATTACAGGCTCAAAAAACGGAAAAATCTACCCTCTGTAATGATCTTCTAGTTCACATTAGTACAAATTTAATTTTTTTCTTAGACGAAGTGACAGACATTGTCATTCAACGTAGTGACAGCAAGACACATAGTCATGCCACTTTTATTAATCCATGATTGTGTAGTGCCACCATGACTGTGTACACCGTACAGGGATACGCCAACATGCACCACTTTATGGGGAATGTAGATGCAATGCTAGTGCTGCAACTAGGCTTTATCGTGAGAGGGACCCAAATGCTGCTCGTCATCCCGATATCCGAGTTTTTGAGAACCGTTTACTCTCAGAGGGACGAAAATCCACATTTGACGAGAAAAGATAGATCACAGTATCGTTTTAAACTAAACATGTGGACGGAATTTCTAAAATGGAGAATTATCGTATTACCAAATTTATTGGAAGACGTGCCACTAATCATTTACATATAGTCAACGCCAAACAAAGTGGCGTGCACGTCATCAAGGTGGGTGTGTTGAAAAATTTACATTGTTGCCAAACTTTTTGTAAAATAATGAAATTTATTATTTACATATCTAGGTTTATAAGCAATATTAACCTCAAATGAGAACAAAAATAATAGTATAATAAAATTATAGATCTGTACTTGCATAATCATTAAGTATGACAATTATTGATCAGATGACACTATGAAACTACCATATTTAATTGATAGCTTAAAGGTACTGAATAAAAATCCAAATGGGGTCCTCCAAATTTTATGCATGGTATTTATTTTACAGAATTCGTACAGAAAAATGCATTCTAAAATTAGGTAAGCTACTGGTGTAAGCTTTTTCTGTACAATAAAGTTAGTCGGAGTTTCTTTCTTCAGCGCTGTCTGAATCTGAATCTTCATCACTCTCAAAGTTGATTATTAAAGGTTCGATGTCTGGTCGATCAAAAATTCGTTCTCTTTCATACCATTTAAAAATTTCTTGCTCAGTATGTCGAACACTATTTTTCCACATGTCTGGGGTAACCGTTTGTAGAGCCTCGTTCCACATATCCAAACAGTCTTTTTCACTGTTACCATCTCTACCAATATGTCTGTTATAGTAACCTTTTGCTATGCCCCAAATTAACTCAATAGGGTTAAATATACAATGGTAAGGAGGCAGACGAAGAACTTTGTGCCCATGTTGTTCCGCTAATTCATCAATCACGTATATTTTAGGTGGTTTGTTTCTAAAAAAGCAGTTATTTTAAGAATAGGAATAAACAAAAGAAATATAAACTGTCGACCAAAATATATATAATTAAGAAGCATTATGTACCGAGCAACAATACTCAATAGCTCTGTTTTAAACATTGTGTTTAAAAATGGTATGTTTTGATTTGTCAACCAGTCTTGGATATTTTTTTTTGTCCATGCATTGTTGAGCACTTTGTTCAATATCATGCTGTGATAAGGGGCGTTATCCAGTATAATCATAGATGGACTCTCCAATTTTTCTAATAACTGATGTTGAAACCATTTCAAAAAATTGTCCTGGTTCATCTCTCCATGGTAATCGCTCAATTTTGTTTTCGAAGAAAATATCGCTTCACTACCCTCAATAAACCCATTTTCATTTCCAGCATGTAATATAATGTATCTAAAATATATTAGTTTTAAATTTTATAGTGCAAATTGTGTAAAAGTACATACCTTTTACCATCTGTTTTAATAGCTTTCACGCTTTTTTGGTTTCCATTTTGCCAAGAGCGACCTATGGTCCCATTTTGAAATATCCAAGTTTCATCGAGGAAGACAAACTGGTATAAGGCCTCAACCTTGGCTTGATTGTATTGCCTTAGAAATTCCACCCTTTTCAAACCTATACTTGGTAGTTCCATGAGCCCTCGTCGCGGATTGTCCTTAAGCCACTTAAATCCAAGATCTCTAAGCAACCGCCTTAAAGACGTGGCACTACCATCAAATAATGCCCTATCTCTTAATCGAGACCATAAAGTTTGTATCGTAACTTGTTCTTCTGAAACCATGTGTAATATGACATTATAATTTAGTTAACAAATTAATGCAAATTTCTGATAAGTTATTATAATAAGATCTTACTTTTGTGATACATATTATAGATCACTTCTCGAATGGCACTTGTATCCAATGTCGCTGTGTTGGTTACTCGTTTAATATAACTCCGCTTTTTCTTGGGCGATTCTAAATTTGCATCACTTTTCACACCCTCGGAAATACGACTAACTGTCATTAAACTAATTTTTAAAGCAGCAGCAACACGCTACAAAAAATGAAATAAAATTTCACTATTATTAATATACATTACATATAATTATTAGTAACCTACCTCTTGAACAGCATTTAAAGGCAACAAAGGCCCGTTGTTGTCCCTTTCTTGCTCAAAGTAGTGCATTAACGAGGCCACGAGTTCCTTACACCGACTATTTAACTGTTTGGGCATCTTTATATACCAAAATTGCCTTTATCTACTCGTAAAATGAATAATTTTGTTTTGAAACAAACAGTTGTTGATTTACAGTATGCGGGGCCAAAGGATTTATAAAGATTTGAAATGCCACAAATTGATTCAGTGTCAAAATTAATACAAATGTCAGTTCCCCGTTTAAATAAGTTTCAAGGTGACAATGTGTCAACGCTGCGAAATCGGTTTAGTGCGTTTACATGTCGATAAGTGATTGGACATAACATTTTGTTTCGCATAATGCGTCTAAATTTATCAGAAAGCAACTTATGTGATATTTTAATAACAATGTTTATATGACTATTAACCATAATAAGAGAGTAATGACCATTTTACAATTTATATATCACATTAATATGAAACTGCAATAGAGCAATTGTTTGTGATAGAAACCTAGGCATTAGGTCGGGGAATTTTTATCGTGATGACGTGCACGCCACTTTGTTTGGCGTTGACTATAGACATATTGTACCTGCAAGATGGCTGACCAGCGCACTATGCCCGTTCAGTTAGAGAATATATTGATACGGAATACAGCAGATGGATAGGGCAGTCTTATACAATTTCGTGGCGAGCCCGTTCACCTGACTTAAATCCACTCGATTTTTTTTACTGAGGAGCGGTGAAAAAAGCTTACCCAAAGCCATTAGAAAATTTGGCTGAGCTACGGGCCAAAATAACGGAAGCAGCTGAATTTGTTAAAGACGGAAGATTCGCCCATCAGATCATTTCTAAGAGGATATCCAACTTGCATTGCTTCTGAAATGTTACACCCAGAAAAAAATAATTTCTTCAATTTGTGTTTTTTTTTTGGCAGCATAAGGACTATATTTAAAGCATGCTGTGGCTACAATGTCAACATTTTATCTTTGATTTTGTTTACCTTTCTTAAAATGTTATCTCTGAGTTTTTGTGAAGAAAGCAGTTTCTGAAAGCTGAGTAGAACAGATATTTTTAGTTATTGCCCTTTCATGTACTAGTCGCCGTGTTAATTGTACTGCAATGACGGTAATGCGCGTGTGTCGCGTGTGGATAGAAGAAGGTAGAGGAACACGACGAAAGCCAGCTGGTCCACCGAGGCGTACCACAGAGCGTAAAGATAGGCGCTTCAACTAGCCCTACGAGACCGTATTGCTACTACGAGTCAGATCGCTGACCAGTGGATTGGAGAATAAAGTAGACCTGTTACTATGCGCACACTCTACCGCTGCATTCGAGCCTTTGGTCTTTTTTCATACCGTCCACGATTGGTGCTTCTTCTGACTGCGGACCACTGTAGTCAACGTTTGAACTGAGGCAGAGGACGGTAACATTGGGAGGCAGAATGCCGTAATATCATCATCAGCGACGAATCGCGATTCTGTCTAGGTATGCACGAAGGTCGTAAAAGAGTAGGACGCTGCCGAAGAGAACGGCGTCATATTGAATTTGCTGTTGAGAAGCATGTAAACAGGACTGTTTGAGTAATGGTTTAGAGGGCTATTGCCTATGGCAGTCGATCTGCTTGCTGTGTTCAAAGCAATATGTCTGCTGCGCATTATGTTGGTGATGTCCTACAAACCACATTACAGCCGTAACTAGAGGGCCACCCATACGTCCTTTTCTAACAAACCAATGCACGTCCCCATATTGCTTTTCGTACTACCGACTTTCTTCATGAAGCAGGCGTTAATGTTTTGTGGTGGCCACCGTTCACCGGATTTAAGTCCCATCGAACATGTGTGGGATATGATGAGGAGGAGACTATACACTATATTATTACTTGTCAATAAAATTTCATGAGAAAGTTATCGTTTCTTTCCTGATGTAAGACTACGTCATTGCCAAAAAATCAAGTTGAAGAAATTATTTTTTCTGGGTGTAACACTTCTACAGTATATTCAGATAAGAGATAGACCGGACATAAACAAGACCACGTGATCATCGAACGCTGTAACATTCGGCAGGGACGTATTAAGAGTCCGCAGTACATATTTTAGATAGTAGATGCTGCTTTGCGTAACTTTGTAGTAAATTAGCACAATTCGATGTGTATACGATTGGTGATGGATATAGGATCATGTGGGGGTGGGGTAAGAAATATATAATGATGTAAATATACATAAGGGTTTCAAAATTTTCGCTTCGATTTCCAGCTTCGGATGCCGCCTGATGTTTGGTGAAATACAGTCGAATATAATCTCAAAATGGCGTTTAAATTAGCCTAAATTAAAAATAATCGTATATCTCTTAAAATTGCTTTTAGAATATTGATTAGTATATTTTTTGATTTCTAGGTAAATATGTAACCAAATTAAAACGTTCAAAACGTAAAAAAATGTGCATGGTTGAACATTGTCAGAAAGCAGATTCTTGAATAGGTTTTGCCAAAATGGGTTCAAAAATGTCAATAATTAATTGAAAAATACAGTAGCTTTATAATTACTTATAACTTACCGAATTTGATGAACGACATCTTTTATTGGAAAGATGAGCTTGATGAGCTTTCATCATCGCTACTGCCTGAAGCACCAACGTCAATAATGAATGGCTCGACTTGTTCCTCTAAAATATTGTCCAGTTCCCACATTCTCTTTTCAACTTTGTCTTTCACGTGCTTAATACAGTTTTCCCATTTTTGCGCTGTTATTAATTCTAGTGCTTCTTTGAAAAGTCCTTTGAGGTCACAAAATTTAAAAGTTGTATTGTGCTTAGCTATATAATTTTTAACCTCTGCCCATATGAGCTCAATGGGATTGAGCTCGCAATGGTATGGAGGTAAACGGAGCACAGTTTTATTTTGACTTGCTGCCATTTCGTCAATGGCGTATTTTTGATATTCCGCCTTGTGATCCTTGACAATTCTTAATAATTGTACTTTCAGCACTGCTTCTTCAAAGTTGATATTTTTCGAGCGGAGCCAATTTTGAACATCAACTTTCCTTGAAGCCGTTGTTGGGACCTTCTCCATTCTTCGAGAATGATAAGGCGCATTATCCAACACAATTACTGCGTTTTCCTCTAAGTTCGGTAAAATTTTTGAAAACCACTGTTCAAACGATTCGCCATTCATTTCCTCGTGGTAATCTCCAGTTTTCTTAGACTCAAAGCAGCACAGACCGTCAACAACAAATCCATCCTCACTGCCAATATGGCAGATAATGAGCCTTTTCCCTTTACCTGGAAATCGAAGTACTAACTGGTGTAGATTTATATCAATAAGCGAACCTTTTACAAATGTTTTCATCACATTCAGCAAAAAAACATTGAGACATGAGTATCAGATTGCTATAATTGGGATTATTTAGTCATATTGAAAGAAAGAATATTGAACGTCGTATGATTACTCAGCGCTTCACAATTTAATTTAAAGTTATAAACCTTTAAAAAATGAATGATCAGGAACCTGAAATACGCGCAAATATTAATATTAACAAATTATAACTTTATAAAGCTTAAAGTATGAATTAAAATGATTAGAAATATTAGGAACGGTACACAATATAAAACTTAGTAACTTTTTTTAAGTTTATAATATTCGACATATTTTAAGATTATATTAAAAAATTATTGAAATATCGAAAACACATAAAAACATGGCTTAAAAAAGTTCTAACAAATGAAAATGACAATAAAACATCCACGCATTTTATCGAAAGTTATAAAAGTTTTGTTACTTGTAATATGTTTTATCTGCCCCCTGGAATTAATGTTTAGAACCTTGTTCCCAAGGTTTGAAAAACATCCGATTGTTGTCTATTACTCGTATTTACCTGCTGGATTTTTTAATCCGGTGGACAGTCCATCTAGAAAGGCCCTCCTGGATGAAGTTACAGAATCATCAACCCATACTTTACTTGTAGTGTGTCCTGCGTTTACCCACGTTTCATCAAGGTAATAAATCTTCCTGTTTTGATTTCTATATTTCCCAATTTTTGTTAAATAATCCCTCCTCCATAGCACAATTTCTTCTCTATCCAGTAGTAAACTATTACGACCCCGTTTTTTCCATTTGAAATTTAAATGCTTCAGTAACGCATGGAAAGTTGATCGTTTGAAATTTGGCAACGTTGTATCTCCATTTACCTCCTGCAGTACTTTATCTATAGTAGGTATTTCATTCCTAAAGAAGAATCCATGCACTATCCTCCTAATCGCATGCTTATCAGCTTCATCCAATGATTTAACAATACTTTTGCGATGTTTACTGGTCATTGGCTCAGAAAAGGTGTGATTTTTTTTGTATTGTCTTAACACATTAAACACTGATGCGCGACACACCCCAACTTTGTGAGAAACCTTCACAACAATTTCTTTGATGGTTGATGCCTCGTTCTCCTCGCGCTCGATCTTATATATATTCAAAATGACCTCTTTCATTTCTGCACTCAGGTGTCTTTTTTTAGAGCGTTTCCTAGGTGGACTACAGGAGTTTACAACTTCATCGGCAGTATCTGTACTATTGGGCATTTTGCGCAAGCAGTTGATAACAATAACAATCAATAACAAGGTATAACAATAACAACGACAAACTCAACAACTTAATAAGGTAACAAACGAAAACGTCCAAAGAAATATCAAATTGCAATGATGCACACGACATACGTAACACGTCTGAACCTGAATGTGACTCTGCCTTGATACGACTGCTCTGCCGCTCGGCATAGGCATTTAATTGCGAATTGACCAATGAGGGCTCCTGTTTTACGTCGAGACGGCGGCGTTAGCGTGAAAATCACCCGAACCTTTTGTTTACATCCGGTCTATCTCTTATCTGAATATACTGTAATGCCACTGAGTATATATCCACGAATTAATAAAAGTGTCGTTACAATCTGTCTTGCTATTAGTACGTAGAATCACATTGTCCGTCACTTCGTCTAAGGAAAAAATTTAAATTTGTAGTAATGGGAACTAAAAAATCTTCACACGATGTAGATTTTTCCGAATTTTTCCGGCTTGACGTCGACTTCGGGGACACCCTGTATACATTTTCTTACATATTTTTATATGCCTGATCTGTCCTCAAATCTCTCTGACGACATTCTGTAATACTCTTTGTATTCTGTTACAGGTAGTATAGGTACAGGTTCGCCGAAAACCCATACGGGCCTGAAACCCGGAGTAAACGCAGGTCCCGCCTCGAAAAAAACCCAACAGTTGCACAAATCGGGCACTTCTATTTCGAATTCAGCAACAGGGTATGCCGGAAGTGGTGGGGGGAATAGTAGCAGTGGCAACACCGCAGGATCGGGGAACAGCGGAGGAACTGGCAACAGTGGAGGCAGCACAGGTAACATGTAATTTTTAGTCCCTGTTACTTGTGTCAAATTTGAATTTTTGCGATAATTTCTGCAAAATGGTATCTTCCAAAAGAATTTTTCACGGAAAATAAAAGTTTCATCTAATCTAAATAATGTATATACAGTGAAAGCTCCCATAAGCGGACATTCACGGTTCCGTAACTTTTGTCCGCTTATGGGAGGTGTCCGTTTAAAAGAGAGTATGTAAGTATAGAGTATAAATAACGGGGTATATAATCATGAGGAAATGAGGTATTATAATCATGAGAAAAATGAAACAGAAACTCGCCACATTTTTAAAGTATGTATTTATGCTAGATATCTATATAATATATGTACATATACGCATACAAAAACATAAATGCTTCAATACATGGTACGAGAATTTAAAAAAAACATTATTCTTTAGCTTGTTGAACAAAGTTTAAAATGTTTGTCTGACGAAATTTCACCATATTTTGCTGAAGGAGACAATTTTCGTAATAACTTTCTAAATTTTTCAAATGTTGAAATGCAGTGAAATCATCTTTAGCAAATTTGTTTAATATAGCAATATGATTTAGAGCTTCCCCATATGAATTTATCGTTTTTGAACCGCTTAGTGAGTCCACCAGTTCCACTTCTTCTTCTGAGTCGTTTGGACTACCATATTCAAGTTGGCCTGGGCTTTCTACATCCAAATTCGAAAAGTTGCCAATGGCATTTTCTTCTGTTGTTATGTTATTGTCTATGGCCAGGAAATCATCTACTTTCTGGGGACCTGCTACTCCTAAATGTTTGGCATGTCGCAGTAACTGAGCAAGTGTCGCTAAGGGCAGATCGTCTTCAGCATCGCAATAATTTTGCTCAGCAAATTCTGAGCTACATTCACTTTTTCTGAATCCAGCTTTGCCAAAACAGTTTTTAATTGTAGAGGAATTTACTTTATTCCATGCTGTTTTTATAAAATACAAAGCTTCTAACACATTGATAGACTTTGTAAGCTCAGATAAGCTTTGACCATCGTCGTTAAAATCAAGTGCCGATAATAAAATTTAAAGTTCTGTATGACACCTTGATCCATGGGCTGACAAACAGAAGTTGTGTTTGGCGGTAAAAATATAATTTTCACATTTTTCATTTTCATATCACGAGGATGAGAGCATGCATTGTCTAAAAATAAAAGAACTTGCCTTTTTTGGATTCTCATTTTCCGGTCGAATTCGACTAACCACTCAGACATGATTTCTCGGGTCATTCATGCCTTTTTGTTGGATTTCCAAGTCGCTGGTAGATCCTTAATAGCAACGTTTTTTAAAGCACGGGGACGAGCCGCTTTCCCGATCACAATCAAATCGCATTTTTCACCGGCCATATTTGCACAGAATAAAATGGTTAGTCTATCTTTAGACAACTTTCCACCCACACATGTTTCTTCTTTAAAGGACAGAGTTTTGTCGGGCAATGCGCGAAAAAAAAGTCCACTCTCATCTGCGTTGTACACATCTTCTGGTTTGTAGCCAAGCAACATGGACGGAAGTTTCTCCAAAAATTGTGACACATCAACTTGATCTACTGCAGCAGCTTCGCCAGATATGCATTTGAAACTCACACTATGCCTCTTGCGCCACTTTTGCAGCCACCCGTCGGACGCACTGAATTTATTATAGCCCAAAGTAGTGGCGATTTCTTTAGCTTTCATTTTCACTAACGGCCCTGAGATTGGAATGTTCTGACTTCTAGCTTTCACAAACCACTCAAAACATGTTTTGTCTATAGCAAAACCTTCCTTTTTTAAAAAATCCTTCTTTTGATTTATATTAGTTCCTGATTGCCATTTACTCCTGATATCTTCCTTATTTTTGGCAATTTCAGCTGCTTGCGTTTTCCCAATATTAAACCTCTTTGCCAAATGACGAACTGAAACACTTTCTCTGTCTAATACGTTAACAACTTCCATCTTTTCCTTTAACGAGAGCATCCTTTTTTTTTGGTGCCATTTTACAGTTACAATAATAAAATACGTAACTCAATCAACTACGAATTTGCCTGAACTGAAGACAAGCCACAAGATTACATACAGGCTACCCAACGAAATGCGTAAATTGGGAATCACCTAATATAAATCGGGGAATTACCGAATTTTATGTATGTAGATATGTGCATTGCAATAAGCGGAACTAAAAAATCGTCCGGGTATTAGAGTTTCGCGTCCGCTTATGGGAGATTTTTTGATCACATACAGGAAAATCTAGTGTCCGCGTCCGTTTATAAGAGCGTCCGTTTATCGGAATGCATTTAACATTGAAAATTGATGGCTGAAATTCGGTTCCAGGAACTTTGTCCGGTTAAAAGAGATGTCCGCTTATAGGAGCTGTCCGCAAGGAGAGCTTTCACTGTAATTATATTATATAATTTTTTTATCTCGTTTGAGAAGTTCAGCACAAATCTAGCAATTAAAATTATATTACATCAAGTGTTCAAAATATATCAGCAGGGGTGCCTCAGGGGAGTAAATTAAGACCCTTACTATTCATTATATATATATATATATATATATATATATATATATATATATAAATACAGGGTGACTTTGAAGTTGAGTCATTAATTTTCAGATAATGATTGTAGAAAGAAGATAAACCAAAATATGTGTGTAAAAATGAAAAGAAATTAAAAAAAAATGTTACCTTGTTTTATAAAGTATCCTCCCGACAAGTATTTCAGTGCGGACCTGTATTTGATCGTGCGTTCTTGGAGCACCGGGTTGGTTGCACTCGATTGGGAAACCGATCCGCAAAATCTGTGATGCCGCGTAAATAAGAATCATGTCCACAAGTTCAGCATTTTCGTAAACATGTGCCATTTTTGATTTCGTTTGAGCCACCCAACAGACACCACTCACGCGTTACCGACTGACACAACTGAATAAAATAATTGTAAAAACATCGTTCCAAATTCTTTCGCTTTTTTGTTTCCGATGCGATGAACCGATAAGGCGGATTATATCCGTTGTTGCCAAACACGAGCACATATTATTATTGAGACAGGGCGGTACTCAAACTTCCAAAGGGCTATAACTTTGTTACTTTAATTTTACCAGAAAAATGGTAAAGGAAAAAAACATTTCTTTTGATCAGATCTACTCACTGTTGAGATAAATGACTCAACTTCGAAGTCACCCTGTATATATATATATATATATATATATATATATATCTGTCATTCTGGAACACTGCAAAATTCAAATATTTACGGACGATATATTGATATACAGGTACGAGTATATAACACATAAATATTTGGGCACTGCTTTAGAACTGTTAAATAGTGATATTAAAAAATTATGCATTGGTTGAACGTTAACAAATTTAAATTAACCACCAATAAAACATCATATATATATCAATAGGGAAACATTTAGGTGGCAATACAATTAGACTCATGATTAATGTGAAAAAATTGATGTGGTCGAATCATTAAAATAGCTGGGTATATACATATGTGCATAGTGAATTACTGTTTCAAGAGCATTATGAATACATTATTTCAAAAATATAAAAAAAGATGAATTTCTTATATAAAGTTTCCTATACTCTTAGAATGTACTCCAATAAATTTGTGTATAACACTATAATAAAAAATTTCCCCATTTTTTAAATAGTTCAACCATTTTGTTTACAGTAAATGAAAACATATTTTCAAAATTACAAATTCTATAAAATAAAGCTATGAGAATCTTTTCAAACAAAAAAATATGCTAGATTAAGTGTATGTTAGAAGAACTGCAGTGGTTGAATCTAAGAAATTTCATACATTATTTAGTTCTCATTTTCATATTCAAATAAAAAAATCATTTATTACCATCAAATTTAGAAAACTTCACAAAATTAAATAGTCAATCTCATAACTACGAAACTAGAGGCAGTTATTTAGATTCGCATCTACAAAATTGTAATAGCAGCATGACTAGCACATCTTTACCCCAAAAGGCAGTATTTGAACTTTATGAATTGTATGGGGTTGTCCAAAACGGACGCAGGAAAGTAAACGCATATTTTAACAAGAAAGATTGATATTCAAATCAAGTTGGGTACTTTATTTTGCAGGTTCATTTATACCATTTATGTATGAAAAATAATATCGCTCAAATGTTCACCACGACTGGATTTACAGACGTCCACGCGATGGACGAAATTTTCAATGATATTTTGCAACATGGTCGGTTCTATGGCATTTATCTCGGCAATGATGTTGTTTTTGAGTTCTTGGAGGGTGGCTGGTTTGTTGACGTAGACTTTGCTTTTCAAATATCCCCATAAAAAAAGTCCAAGGGAGTCAAATCGCACGATCTTGGTGGCCATGGCACATTTCCTCTGCGCGAAATCACGCGATCACCGAAGAAGGACTGCAATCGATGGATATTGACGTTGGTTGTGTGGCATGTTGCACCGTCTTGTAGGAAATAAACATCGTCCATATCCATTCCTTCAAGTTGCGGCAAAAAATAATCCTCTATCATCACGTGATATCGCTCAGAATTGACGGTAACGGCGTCCCCGGCCGCATTTTCGAAAAAGTAAGGTCCGATGATGCCTTTTGACCACAATGCACACCACACAGTCACTTTTTGAGGATGCATCGGCTGCTCTTGATACTCACGGGCAGATTTGCCACAGAACCTGTTGCCTCGAATTTACGCACCAGACGACCGATGGTTGTTTCGTTTGGGCGGTTGTTGCGACCGAAATGTTCACGAAGCGCGCGAAACGTGTTTTTTATTTTTGCACCATTTTTGTAGTGCTCTTGAATAACTTTGATGCGGTCTTCAATCGAATACGACTCCATAGCGATCAATGGTAAACATTCAACTAACAAAATGACATGTCGGTGACAGAAAACAAAGATGGCGTCTATGTCAAATTGACCTTTACTTTCCTGCGTCCCTATGGGACAACCCTTTATAATATTAAACAGTGATCGGATTCAAAAATGTTCAAGGTGAAAAAAAGATTCGGTGAAGACCCAAAATGTATAGTGTGTAATTCTAATATACAGGAATGTAAAATTACAGAAAATTGATTCAAAAAATGTGTAAACAAATAATTATACAAAATTGGCATTGTAGCATTACTGCTAAATAAGTCTTCAACAAACACAAACAAAATATTGCATTGTGAAGACCCCATTGCAGAATGTTATGAAACTTCATGTTCCGATATATTTAGAGTTTTCAACAAATGTCGCGCGTCGTAAAAATTTATTCAAGATGCAAATTCTTTTTCAGGCGGTACAAAGATGTCTTCCAGCAGTCTGAGCAGCGGCAGTAGCCTATCGAAATCCGCGTCGAAATTCGGAGGTTCCCCAAAGACTAGTTCGAGTGCCACGGATTTGAGCAGGAGTAGCAAGGACAGGTTGAAACCTACAAAAAGCAATTCAGAAAAGTCGATATTTTCATCGATGAAAGACAGAAAGTCCAGTCCAACTCCTAGTCGAGATGATGTGGATAGTATTTATAGGTTATCTCAAGCGAGTCTGATGGAAGGTATGTACATTTCTATTTTTAATGCATTTTTTCTTCAGTAATACTTATTCAGTATCTTACTAACATTAACCGATGGATGTTTTCCAATTTTCCGATCTAGAGTACGAGTATACTTTGGAATGCTTGTGTCAAGCTTTTTTTAATCCAAAACATTGTTCCATTTCTCTAGTTTCTGATATTGTTGTATCAACATTTCTGAGCTTCTTAAGTGTCGACTTTAGCAACGTCAAAAATTTGGATTGGTCGCATTTTTAAATCGTTTATTTTTTAATTCTAAAATATATGCTACAAATTTTCGTCAATGTCTTTACATTTTGAAGAAAAATGCGAAGAAATGTGGAATTTTAGAAACAATATAATACTTTTAGGTGATTTTAATTTAAATTATTATGGTAAAAGCATGAAAACAAGAAAATTGAAAGAAACCATAAACCACTACGGGTTCAAGCAAAAAATTGAAGAGAGTACCAGAATAACATCATTATCAGAGACTTTGTTAGATCTTGTTATTGTAAATTTCGAATGTGCAGGGATTAAAGCTGTACATACACCTAAAGTTAGCGATCACAGTTGGACAATGCTGCCCTTGGTAGGGCATTTTTCTGATACAAAAATTAAGAAAATTAAATACTATTAAGTACGAAAAACTTGAACGAGAACTTGCTGGCTGCTATTGGAATTTTGGTGAGAATATGGAAAAAATATATGACAACATAATAGGAAATATAAAAACTTGTTTAGATCTTGCAACTGATAAAAAAGTGATTTGCTCGACAAAAAATACACCCTGGTATAATAAGAATATTAAGGCAGCTCAAAATTTGAGAGACAAACAATACAATAAATGTATATTCACAAAATCAAATGATGATTGGGAGGTATATAAAACTCTTAGGAATAAATGTGTATATGTAATTAGAGAAGAAAAAAGGAAATTCTACGATAAACAAATCGATAATAACAAGTGCGACAGTGTAAAGATGTGGAAGACTTTAAAAAGACTGATCAATTCGAAGCCGCATGATTGTGTAAATCAAGTTCAAGTCGAAAACGGTACAGAAACAAATTCTTTGGTGATTGCAAACAAACTAAATGAATATTTTGTGGAAAGTATTGTTGATATTGTGGGTACTGCCAATGCTGCACCTGACTATATGAAAATCAGTTTCCAGGGGGAAATGTTGCATACACTTTCAAAATTTCACAGCGTATCATTGAATTATCTAAGAAAAAAAGTAAACAGTTTAAAATCAAATAACAACTGTGCCGAAATGACTACTAAAAACGTGCTGAAAAACTGTTTCGAAATTTTGGGATATCCTGTATTAAATTGGATCAATTGTTCACTGAGAAGCAGTTCTTTCCCTGAAAATTTGAAATGCTCTACAATAACACCAGTTCCCAAAATAAAAAATTCTAAAAGATGCAGCGATATGAGACCAGTAAATGTGTTACCAGACATTGAAAAATTATTAGAGTCCATAGTGCATGACCAATTGATGCAGTTTATAGAAGAAAACAAAATTTTAGTGGAGGCGCAAGCAGGCTTTCGAAAAAAATATTCCACAGAAACAGCTTTCCACTTGGTAACTGAGAATTGGAGAAGAGCCATAGACTCAGAAGAAGTTGTCATAGCAGTATTTTTGGATTTGAAGAGGGCATTTGTAACGATTGATAGATATTTTGTTAGGTAAATTGAAGGCATATGGTATAACAGGAAGTGTTTTAGATTGGTTTAGAAATTATTTGTCTAAAAGGATGCAAGTTACAAAAGTTAATGACACTATTTCATCAAAAATTGAAAGTACGATGGGTGTTCCACAGGGCAGTATCTTGGGAAAACTTCTTTTTATTTTATACATAAATGATTTACCTGCCATAGTCAAAAAATGCAAAATTAAAATTTTCGCCGATGACACTATGATTTATATAAGTACTAAAAATATTCAGTCTGGTATCTCTTATATAAATGAAGACTTGAAGCTTGTCTCAAAATGGTTAGCATCTAACAGACTAAAATTAAATGCAAGTAAAACGAAAGCCTTGTTAATCGGAAAAAAACAATGTACAAATGTTCAACTGAATATTGATGGTGAAGATATTGAATTCGTAGAAAATTTTAAATACCTGGGGGTTTTTGTTGACTCTCGATTAATTTTTGATATTCATTATGAAAAAGTTATAAATAAGATTAGTAGTAAAGTGGGATATTTATCGAGAGTTTCTGGATGTCTGAGTTCATATAGCAGAAAAATTATCTATAATACCATCATTCTTCCAAATTTCTTGTACTGTTCGACTATTCTATATTTAGCAAATAATTCCATTTTTGAAAGACTGCAAATTTTACAGAATAAGTGCATGAGAATAATACTGAATAAAGATAAATATACTCCAATTAGGCAAATGCTTAGCAAATTAAAATGGCTCAATGTAAAAAATTTTATCAAATATCTTGTAATGATATTCATTTATAAAGTAAAAAATAATATATTTCCATCAAGTCTAACTAATTTAACATCATCAAATGTCGACCATCGTTTACATAATACCAGAAATAAAGATGACTTCCATTTAATGACCAAAAAGTATAACATATGCTACAAATCTGTATTCCATCAAGGGTTGATTGAATATAATAAATTATACTCGGAGATAAAAGACCAGAAAACTTTGACAAAATTGAGAAATCACTTGTTAAATCTACAATTATAGGTTGCCCAGCATTCACATCATACACCATATGGCTTGAATTTACTAGTTCTAAGTTGTTTACAATTGTTCTGTTTATGTAGCCAAATGTGCTAAATAAATCTTTCTACTACTACTACATTGTGTTGCTAATTTGCCCTCATTAATTTTCACTCTTTTCTTTTAAAAACTCACTACTCTCACTGAAATTCATGCGTTGGCTCGCCAACATCCCTGATTCTGTGACATACAATTAATTTTTCAGGTATGATGAAGACGTTGGATAAAAACTTTCAAATACCAAAACTCTCTGCGAGAGTATCGGAAGAAAAAAAGAAGAACGAAATGAACAACATCAACAGGAGCACAGTGGATACGAAATTTTTCGACACGATGTCGAAAAACGATCTGTCGATACCGAAGTACCCGATGGCCATATCTACGAACAAACCGTACGAAAATAGTGTGGATCAGAAGATGAGGAACAGTATGAACAGCATGAATCCGATGAATTTAGGCAACAAAATGATAGATGATGAAGATAAGAAGAAGGATATGCCTCAAAATCTATCAAGTTCGCAAGGTGAGAGTTAATGTCAAAATATTATTATCAATGATGAAACAGCAATAAATAGAATTCTCATTTTGCTGTAAAATAATGATAATGAATTTGTAGGCTGCGAAGATGCTGCAAGTGGTTTTGCCCAATATTTTTCAACAGAATAATAATGACTTTTTGAATTTTGAGCCATACAGTCAGAATCTGACTATTCCTAACCCTAAAGTGTCAATTAACTTCATTTTCGATAAAATCTTCCTGTTGCTATCTACCCTATTTATATCTTGTTCCGAAGGTCTGGAAATATAGTTTTATGATGCCAATATTTAAATCAGGAGACAGTTATCAAATAGTTGAGGTGTTTCTAAACAGTCGGCCATTCCTAAAATTTTTGTTAGCCTCATTTATGATCAGATATATTTTCATAGTAAGGAAATTTTGCTTAGAGCCGTATCGTCAGTCGTTTCTACAATTATAGGACGCCTTTATGGCCTCCTTGATCTTCATAGTGTTTTCTCTCCTCAGAGAGACTGGGATTTCTAGATTTCTACTGTTCCGTATCAGCGTCGGCGCTCTTCTATTGTGAGGCTCTGTTTTCTTTTTGAATTGGAGGAAATTTCAGGCTGATATAACAGACGATATAAATCAACAGCATGAAGGCGTCCTACAATTGTAAGGTGGTCAATGTTCTCCGTTACTATTTGATATTTTTATAAATGACATTTCAGTCTGTTTTTTTTTTATATCGAAACAGCCGCGCAGGCAGAAGCCTAAATGCCGGAACACCGCGGCTGCTATGATGATCCCAAAGAAATTTTGTTGATACGATTTTTGAACTGCCTAAGGTTAGTAGAACTGGGAAAAGCTTCCTCCCGTAGATTGTTCCACAATCTAGACACCCTCGGGACAAAGTAGCGGTCGTATCGGCCAGTTCTGGATGTACGAAGTTTGACACGGTTAGGATGGGACGCTGAAGTCAGGCGGGTCTGTCTGGCAGGCACATCGCGCGGCGGCATCATGGAAGAGAGCTCTGAGGAGCAAAGCCCGTTGGTGTAGCGATAGAAAAGAGCTAGATCGCCGACGACCCGCCGGTGCGAAAGAGTCCCGAGACTGTCTGTTAGAGAAGAGTCATCGATCAGTCGGACCGCCCTCCTCTGGACAGCATCGAGCATGGACAATGTAGTCGGGGCGGCAGCACCCCAAATGTGTGAGCAATACTCGAGGCTAGGCCTTATCTGGGCCTTGTATAGAGTGAGAATGTCATGCGGAGAAAAGTACTTCTTAGCCCTAAACAAATAGCCTAGCTTTTTCCCAGCAGCTGCAGCTATTGAAGAGATGTGTTCGTGCCAGATCAGGTCCTCGGTGATCTGGACTCCGACCAGCCGAAATGAATGGCTCTTTGGTAGAACTCGACCGTCCATCGAAACTGTATGAACGCTAGGACGTTTTTGTTCGTCAAAGTACAGTACTGTGTTTTGGAAGCATTGAACTGTACAAGATTGTTGCGTCCCCAAGCAGTGATAGCCTCCAAGTCTCTTGTCAGAGACGAAGTCGTCGCTAGTACCTTCTTTTTCCAGCTCAGCGGCAGAGATCGGCTTGTCACTCTGAATTCCTGCATGTAAAGTGCTGTCATCAGCGAAGCTGTGGATTGGGTTGATCGTGCAGGAAAGGAGGTCGTTGATATGTAAGAGAAACAGTGTTGGAGCCAAGACCGATCCCTGGGGAACACCCGCGTTGACGTTGTGGGATGAAGAGGAGAATCCGTCAATTACGACGGATATCTTGCGGCCAGAGATAAAGTCAGCCACCCATCTGCAAGGCTTTTCTGGGAGGCCATAGGATGGAAGTTTGCTTAAGAGGCAGCGTGCCACAGCTGATCGAACGCTTTCGTGATGTCAAGAGCAACGACATGAGCCTCACCATGAGACTGGATGAGTTTACTCCACAGTTGCGTGACGTAAGCTAGGAGGTCCCCTGTGGATCGTTGGTGCCGGAAACCGTGCTGCCTGTCGCTAATCAAGCTGTGACGTTCGAGGTAGTCCAGAAGCTCGCGATTTATGCACTTCTCCATCACTTTACTTATGACAGAAAGCAGAGCTATAGGCCTGTAGTGGTAAGGGTCGGTTTTAGATCCTTTTTTGGGATGGGCTGTACATGAGCAAATTTCCAGTTTTCTGGGAAGGTGCCGTATTCATAAGATATCTGGAAGAGCTCCGCTGCACATCTCTTCAGTACAATGGCAGGAATCAAGTCCGGACCAGAAGCTTTGTTGATGTTGAGCGACAAGAGCACTCGTCTTACGGTCTTATGCCTGAATGTTACCTCCCGCATAGTGTGGGGAACCCTTTGAATTGACGGCACTTGGGCGTTGGTGGGGACGTCCATGGTGGAGTTGGCAGCAAAGATCTTGGCTAGCACTTCCGCCTTGGCCTTCGAGTCGAATACAATAGTTCCATCCTGACACGTAAGTGGTGGAAGGCTACTGTGTGAGAAGTTCTTTTCAATCTGCTTGGCCAGCGTCCAGAAAGACCGACTGCCATTGCGCTGCGACATTACCCTGTGCCTAACTTTTATATCATGCTGGTTTTTGGCATTGCGAACCGCTTCGTTATATTTGTTTCTGGACTCGACGTCGGCTTGTCTGTTCTCTACAGTGGGGTTTTGTAAGTAGGTTCTGTGGGCCTTGATCTTCTGCTGGCGAGCAGTGTCACACGATTTGTTGAACCAGCCGTTGGACCCTGGTTTAGGAACTTTCACTGTGTGAGGGATGTATTCCTCCATTCCGACGTGGATAATTTCGGTTATTGAAGAACAGACAGTCGACGCATCCGCGTCAGTGAAACAGACATCTCTCCAAGGAAAGCTAGAGAAGAAGTCTTTGAGCCCCTCCCAGTCGGCATGTCCGTAATGCCAAGTTTTGCGGCCTGTGCGAGTTTCTGCTGCCACAGCGGCTTCTGACCGAAACCTAACCTCCACAACACCGTGATCTGAGTTACCCAGGGGGGACAGGACAGCAGTGCTGTAAGGGGCAGGATGCGTGGTCAGAAAGAGATCCAGCAGGCTACTGGCGTGTGACGAGCCGCGGGGGAAAAAAGTAGGGCTCGTCACCAGCTGGGTCAGCCCTTGAGTAAGAGCGAACGCTTCGACTGCACGACCTGCTGCATCGGTCTTATTTGAGCCCAACCAAAGCTCATTATGGGCATTGAAATCACCGAGAAGAACTACCTCTGAAGCGGGGTGATTGATGTTTTGGAAACAGTAAATTTATGTTGTTCGCAGATGATTTGATCGGGAGGTTGGTTCTGAGCAGGATTTAATGTTGTTGCAAAATAACTTGAATAGGATGAGTGATTGGTGTGTTAATAATGATTTATCATTACATATTGGTAAATGAAATGACATTATTTTTTATAAAAGACATAAAAAGGTGGACTCTTTTTACACTAGGGGCCGTTCAAGTATTACGTAAGCAGATTTATTACAATTATTTACCGCCCCATCCCCCGTGTCAGCAAAAGTAAGCAAAGCTCTTACCCCCTCCCCCCATGCTTACGTAAACATTTGTCAATTAATGTATTGTTTTTTTTTAATATTATAATTATAACGTTATAATTATAATTTGAAAAATAAGAAAATTGATTTAGGATAGAGATTATATTTTACTGATACGGTATTCAACAGTAAAGGGCAAAAATATTATATCTTACTAACATAACAAACTTATTTTAAATTTTTGGTACATACAGGTATATTAAATTCAAATTAACAATCTTCAGTCCATGAAACCCTAATCCATGATTCTAAGTTTTTGATGACATTGGATTGCTTCGATTGCTGCTCAGTGTTGTGAGTTTGCTCGCTTTCATCGGATTTTGGAATGTCTACGTCGTTCTCATCGAGCCATTCAACATCATGGTGCTCTAAATTTTGAATAATGCACATCAGTTCATTAGCACGACGAGCAGCGTCTCTTCAGATCTAACTTTCCTATCAGTGTGCGTGTTTACTTTTTTATGGATATTTTCGATGTGACGATTTAGTGACTTGACGGATGCATGATAAAGACCACACGTTTTGCATGTTCGACTTGATAGCCTCAATTTTACCGTCGGACAAAAATAATCGTAGGGCAATTGCAGGAAATCTTTGAGTGAAGCACTTAAGCGTAGAGCTAAATTGACTGGAAGAATAAGAAATTGCCCTCTTTCATTAAAAACCAAGTCATCAAGTGTTTGTTTTACTTTTACAGGTGGTGGAAGAAACCTGTTGTCTAGTAATCTAAATAGGCCACTTCTTGGACGACAGCATTCTGTATTTCTACATTTTACAATTTGAAGCAAGTATTCGCTCTCACGCACATGTTCTGAATACCATTTAATGTCTGGAAAATCAGGAAGATCTTGTTCACCTGCCCCAACATATTTTGCATTAACATTATAGCCATCAATTTCCATTGAACTCCATACTTCAGCTAATACATTTCCTGAATATCCAACGGCTTGCGGTTGTCCTAGCATATTGGAAGTGATTTTGATACCAGCATAAACAGATGGTATTAATTTATGACGCTCAGCGATTACCCAATCGTGATCAGGCAACTTGATTCTATATTCCATGTGCATTAGAAGAGGTGCTTGCTTATTTGCCGCAGTTACGCCAATAGGGACTCGAGCTTTATCATCTTGAGACATGAAAAATACTTGATCTGGTCCAAGTATGGATGCTATGTTCTCTAAATAATGGATGAATGTTTCAGCGAACTTGCTATCTAAGTGGCTCTTGTGGTGATCAGTTTGAGCCCGAATGAGCCCGAATGAGCTTAACAGGGACTGTCGATACATGTCTTCGTTCCTCTGCAGAATTAGATTTTCTGGGAATCAAACGAAGATATGTCCCACTGCGATTAATATCATATCCTATTTTATGTAATTCTTGTGTGAGTTCATCAAGAGTTTTTAAATTAAAATAATGCTACATCCGCGATTGTTTTCAATAGTGAATGTTGATTGCTTTCAAGATTCCTGAGAAGGTTTTGCTCTATGTTTATCTGTATTTTTATTAATTTCGCATTGCTGTTGTGATTCATTATCGGGTTTTATTTTATCTTCTTCCTCTTTTTTAATATTTGAAGCTGACTGTATAATTTGTGTTTTTTCTGCAGGTTTACAGGTTGCCTAAAAATAAAAACTTTCTATGGCTTCTGCTAAAGATTCTCTTATTAAGCTACATAAATAGAAAGCATGGCAATATATATGGTAAATACAAAACCCTATGGCTTCAAATCTAATATGTTTAAATGAGCAATTCGTTCCGGTCACAAAATACAGGGTGTTAGTTTTCTGTATATATGTATAAAACTAACATCCTGTACTTTGTGACCAATTGACGCAATCAATCATAAGAAATAAATCTATAATATAATGAATATTACCTCTATACTTTGAGATAGGCCATAATATTTTCTAATCAGTAAAGAGAAACTTTTTGGCGATTTCTAATATTTCTAGTACTCATAGGTACCTAAAATGATTTCGTCACTCACCTCAGAAAAAAAATTTAGTAGATTGGATTTATTCTTAGTCGCCGCTTGCAATTCTTCTTCGATTCTCTTAGATACAATAATATCTAGTTCCTTGTCGGATTTTGCGTGTAATTTGTAATTTCGCCACACTTCGTTAACTAACTTTTGTACATTTTGTAGTTTCGTACTTGTGTGACATTTTTTAAAACTTTCAAATAATTTTTGGTATAACTTGGATTTGTCTATGTGAAAGACATCTTATTTAAACATTAAACTTTGGCTAATTGAATCAATGCTAACACAAATGTTAACTTGCTTTACTATGCTTACAATACGTCTACTCGCTATAGTATCCAAACGAAACAATACACTGATTGTGAACACCGCGCGGTAATTCCCCTACTCGGTTCTAAAGCGAGTAGGGGAATTACCGCGCACTGTTCACTAAACGTATACATTATTTGCGGGAATCCCCGAAAATGCGTTTCGTTTTCAAGCAAAGACAATGTGAGGGTTGCCATTCGTGTAAAAAAGTAAATAACTACCGATGACGTAATCATCATCTAGACTCCCCTATCCCCCATGTCATCCAAAATAAGCAAAACAAAGACCTCCCCGCCCCCCCCCCCATAGTGCTCACGTAACACTTGAACGGCCCCCTATAGGAAACAATAATATTGAACATTACAATGTCATAAAATATCTTGGTTGGTATACTTTTTGATCAACAATTAATTTGCAGCACAGGGGGTAGGGAGCTATCTATAGAAACTTGTAAAAAATTATGCATTGTCTTTTTACTTTCTCATAATTTTTGACTATTTCCAATTGTTTCTTTACTTCGAGCTTCTATAGACGTAATTATCTCTGTTTCAGGCAAAGACCTGGATTTGCTGAAATCCACCTACCCGGAACCGCTAAGTCTGTCCACAAAATCCGTGGATCTAACCTCAAAATTCGCAGCGGCGGCCGCCGTAACTACGCCCCTTTCGAAGCCGGGCGACGATTCGTCGACGGCCAGCGGAGGGGCGGCGCTAGATTACACGAAAGCGTCGTCAGGCCAATCAGCGGCCGTCGGCGCTTCGGTAGTACCGCCTTCCGTCAGTGTGCACATAGTCAAGTCGCCGGGGGGCAGACCTGGGGGACACTCCGCCCCTTCTCCGTGTATCACGGACGACGAGTTGATGGACGAGGCTGTCGTGGGCATTGGCAAGTAGAAGACAGAACAGGGCAGACAGATAAAAAAAGCTGAAAACGGTAGAATCAGAAAAAAAAAGGTAGATTTTAAAAATCATGACAATGGACCAGTGAAAAGCATAATTGAAGAATGCTAGATCGGTTAGCAGGATGCTTTAGCAGGGTTTCTGAGTCTACTAACTCAAACAAGCAGCAATATGCACTATTTTATTGAACAATATCGTAGACTTGGATGTCTAAGAGCAGCGTATATATGATCGAACCAAAGAATACAAAGTTACCATTAGAATGAACACTCGCGAAAAAACCTTTGATCTTCCGACTTCTAAAGATGCCGACATTTTTCTAGGATCTCGGATCCTTTTTTTAGGTGCCTCACTAGAAGAATTTTGGAAGAATCTCCTTTGTCAATTGAACCTTGAGCATTAGTTTGAGAAAAACGGATTCCAAATATGCTGGAATAACAATATGTATATGAATTGATGAATGAACTTTGACACTGATGCTTGTTTATATTATATTGAATGAATGTAACAATAAACTGTTTGAATTGTGTCTTAATGAATTTGCTTGATTGCCACGCCCGTCAGCTTGATGGTCGGCGCGTGAATGTGTCGTTCCTCGGGCGGTGTTGCCAGATGTGTGCAGAAGTTGCCTTGCCAGACCTAAACTTAATTCAAAAACTATTTATTAAGGTTGAGCAATAAACCTAATCAGAATATTTTTCTGAGCATATCGTCGCCCTAATAAGAAAACTGCCTAAGTCCAGTTCAGCAAATTTTACAGGAGAGACAAAAAAGTATTTGTAGAAATAATTTACCATAAGGATATTGATTTTATGCACCTAACCATTTTGCAATGGTATAATTAGTAGGCTAGCAATCCGTTTTTCATTACATTTATTATTTTTCACACTCAACGTGGAGTTAGGCCAATATCTGCTTAATATTTGATAATAAGAGAGGAGATAGGCAAATTTCTATCATTCCAGAAATACACGAAAGAAACTTGAAAAAATCAATTTTTATTTATTTAAAAATCAAAATAAAACATTTCTTTATTATAAAAAATATAAGACCAGCAAGAAATTGCACAAATAAGAATGAGATCCACATCAATGGCAAAATGAAAATGAAATAAGTAATTCTAACTCACAAGAACGCTAAACATTGTCATGCATGAGGTAGGTTGAGATAAAAATTATGATACTCTTTATCTATGCCTTTCATGAGTACCATGAGGTGTTGGTATTTTTCTTTTTTAATTTTCAATCTCCTCTCATACAGCCTAGGTAAGGTACCATAATTAATGTCGTTGGGAATAGATTTCACAACCCTTCTGGGGAGATCACTCCAAAGATTCTCTGAGTGTCGCAATTTAAATTGAATTGAGCCATCTTCATATTTTAAAGATTTGATATCAACTACCATTGGGTCGCCCGCAGTTTTGCCTGGTCGAATAGAGCTGTAGTATTGGACAGTTGAAAAGTTTTTGAAGAAATCATGAGTCAAATAATTGACATTGTATGGAAATGGATTGCTTCGTGCTCTTAGACATATTTCAATATAATCTGCTGGTAAATTTATCTTTACTTTTCTTACTATTCTTTCTATAGCTGAATGAACAGAGTCTACCTCCATTTGCGTGTGACCCTTCAAAAGATATTTTTGCAAAATTATCACTTTGTGCAATGTCGCAACGTGGAGGAGTGCATTGCTTAGAGTTACGTTACGGTTCTGACCTGTGCAACCATCGCTGTAAATAATCATCTTTTTGGAACGATCCAGTGTGGGAATGACCTCTGTTTCTAGGAAATGTACAAGAATTGAAGAGAATTCGTTTGAGGTCAGCTGTCCTTCAGCCTCATTCCATAGATAGCAGTAAACCTCTTTGGTTTTTAAGTTATAAATTGTATAATTATGCAAGATAAGTTTAGTTTTGTAGTACATATTTAACACATTGGTTTTGGGGCTCAGTAGAACAGATTGTAAATCTACAGCAAACACAACTGCATCGCTGGATAGCTTATCTGCGGCCTTTTCTGCCCTAGCTTCTTCTTTTAATTCTTGATGTAGCTTATAGTTTTCTGCATTAACATTAGATGTGCGGTAACCGACACAAACATCGCACTCATCCTTTTTTGGACGAAAAAGCGAAAGATTAAATGTTGTATCAAACTTTGCCTGTGAAACTGGTTGTACCTTATTCTCTATGCAGTACTCAGACTTATAAAATTTGTAAAGAGACGCTTTTGAAATCCACAGCGGCTCCAGATATACTTTCTTACTGGTTGCTCTGCAGTAATGACTTTCCATCTTTGCAAGGCTGCCGAAAAACTGTAAAACTCCAGTATTAGATGATTCCAGTTTAGCCTGTTTAACAATGCTTTTTCTGTTTATCGATGGACCTTCTGTTATCTCAGTACTTTCTATGTTTTCTAAATGTTCCTTAACCCACTCAACCACAGTTCTTCCCTTCAGTCCCGATAAACATATTCTTGCAAACCATAACATCCTCTAGACCGTTTTTCAAATATTCGAATAATTTCTACGGGAAATATCATTGGTTCCCCGTCTTCTCTTAACTTTATCGATCTTCACGAAACCTTTCACAAACATTTTTTTCTCAGGCCAGGACATTTTATTCCAAAATGTATTAAAAATCTTTCGCCGTCGCTCTTCCCCAATGGTGCTACATTTAAACTTTGTTTCCCCCTTCTTTCCCCTCTTGCAGTGACATGGATCAGCTAAAAACCTACTGGGCCTCGGTCGATCATATGTCCAACCTTCTGGTTGTTTCTTTTTGCCTTTATACTGCACTCCCTTTTCCCTCTTCCTCTGGTTAATCTTCTGATCCCAGTCCCTCAGAGAATTTTTAACGTTTGATCTGCTTCTTACTGTTATTTCAGTGATCCTGTTGGGATTTTCTGTAGTTTTCGCGATTATTTCCATATTATTTTCCACTGTGTTCAGGTGACTTTCAATTTCGTCTTCTTTTCGTACCTCAAAAGCGTTAGATTTTTCTGCCGCATTACTGATTTCTTCCTCCAAAATCTGAAGATTTTCATCGACAATTTCTAAAATCTGCTCGTCAGACATTACGCACAATGCGGAAATGTCATTTTCTAGAATCAGTCGACTCGTATCAGAAATATTGCTTGTTTTTAACGAAACAGTTGTGTCAACACCGAGTTCTACGTGGTTATCTATGGTTAAATCCATATCCGTATTCTGAACTGTATTTATCTCCTAGAGGAGTGTTTTTCGTCATGAGAACCATCTGCATGGCTCGGGAAACAGGTCTGCATCTGAAATTAAGCAGAAAATTAATTATTATCTCAAAAACTTTCTGTATTTGATTTCACTACAGTAAGCTCATAATATTGCCTAATTCCCTCAAAAATGTTCATAGAAAACTGCCTAACTCCATATCAATCTATAATAATATAATTTAGTCAGTTCTAGTACTATTATTACAATAAAAATGTATGCAAACTACTTACCTCTCATTCATGTTGACATTTGGAGTAAACAATCGAGTCGAATCGTCGAAAAAACTGATTTTCCTGATAAAAACAACGGACAGCCTTGATCGATCAAGAAATAACATAAAACTGTCGGAGATAGGCTGTTTTCCCGCCGTTTTTGCGCACGGAGATAGGCATATTTCTGTTTAGGTTATTGTACGGCTGTAGATTTTTCTACGAACATACTGTTTGGTAGGTGAATGAACGGTGCCGTTCTCTAACAGATGGAGCTAAAATGTCAATTTGTGGAAAAAGTGGAGTTAGGCAGTTTTCTTATTAGGGCGACGATATGCGAAGATACGTCCTTGACTATTACCGCAGGTAATGTATGGGTGGTCGCATCCCAATCGCAGGTAGCATTTCAGCCACCAGAGGTACCTTAGCCACCCTGGCAGAATCTGGTTTTTCAAGGGAGTGGCTCTTCTACTTGTAACTCCGTATTCTTTGGTCGAACCTTGTGCGGTAAGAAGCGATAGAAACTGAGCATTGTACGGTAGAAGGCTAGCCGAAAGCCTTAAAACCGGTAGATCTGGCAACTTTGATTATGATTAAGTTGCTAAAAGATGATAGTCCACTGATTCAGTCGACTTAGCTCATTGATTAACATATTCCACCAAAAAATTTTCAATCCAATTGAAAGCCGTGGCTTCGCTAAAAATAAACATGCGTATAATATAAAATCGAAGATCAACACTAAGTAAACTTAAATCGTATGCCCATGGCAAACAAGTTGTCATAAGGGATGCAATTGTCTTGCAGACAAATGACAAACTAATGCCGTCTCGCAACTGCAAGAGCTTGCATGCGATGGTATTGCGGACAGTAAAACGGAAGGAAGGAATCGTTACTATTTCCAATGAGAATCTTTCCACAGATGCTACTCACGCCTCAAGTAACGGCTATAATACTGGCTTTAAAAAACGTATGTCTTTGAGCTGACACAATCAAACGTCTGCGCATAGAGGCTGATTGCATTTGTATGTGTGAGGAAGAGGGATGTATGAAAATAACTCCTTTAGTTTTAATTTTAGCCGTCAAAACTGTGAAAAGGCCTATACTTGGCAACAAATAAAGCGTAAGGCTGGGCAACGGGCATCTTGTAGAATAGAGGTATTTTAAAACGTCGTGGGCCGTACTGTTACATTATGTGGACGCGCAGAAGGCAGATATTAGAGCGGCGCACATACGGGTATTTCACCGATCTGGCTGGCCAAAATTATTTTTCCCGCTATTATGAAATTTTAAGGTTTCTTATGTTATTTTATGTTGGGATAAATAACTTGTGTCTGATAAGTTTAAAAAAAAACAATTGAGTGCAGATATTTTTTCATTTTGGAGCAGCTTCTGCACAACCATAATTTTATACGGATGGTAATGGAGGTCCAAATGCAAGATTCTGCGAACTGAACGATCTGACATTCTAAGAGCGCGAGCGTGACGTACCGCTGAACGGTGAGGGCTGGTATCCACCGCTTGTTGCACTCTTTCAATGTTTTCCGGAGTTCGCACTGTAGGAATCTCTTCCCCTTGCAGTACCAGGTCTCAACGATCCGGTTGTTTGAAATTTATTCACCCACTTCAAAATGGTATCGCGTCTTGGAACGCGACCATGCCGACCAACGTTAAAATGGTTTCGAAATCGTCGCTGTGTGAGCACAACAGAACGACCAGTTTCAATAAAAGTGTTGTAAATAAACACGCGATGTGCCACATACCACGGCTCCATGGCTACTAAAATGGCATCGCGGAACGAGTAGATATCAATCATCGTGAAAACATTGGCTCGACAGTGCTGCATGTAATAGTCGTTGCAAAAACACCATACTTCATTGCCGGACCCTGTACTTGTCCATACCATCACTTTGTTTTATTGACGGATTTGGTAAAACGGCTAACACATCAGATATATCTGGTACAAATTCGTCACCGTCTTCAACTGCGAAAATCTTCTTTGATTTGTCTACAGACTTCATAGCCAGTAAGTCAATTTCTTTTTTTCCTTCTTCGTCCACTCTCACCTGCTGTATAATAGCTATGTACCGATAGATTGTTTTCTTTCTTGATCCACCGTAAACCTTAACTAGCACAAATTTCCCAGCCGCAACTTGATTTTCTTCTGGTTTGAAATATTCTCTGCTCCGACATCGTCATTTGTATCTTCTAGGAGATTGTCGTCGGAGTTGTCATGGGATAATGGCTGATCTACATCTGAATCGCTAGAATCTTCATCAATACATGCTGTTACGCTTTTGCCAGGTTCTACCGACAGTTTTTTCCTTTTAATATTCCTTCTTGTTGGAATTGCTGTAAAACGTTGTTGTTGCAAGTACTTCACAAGAACGTTATTCACAGTGTCATCAGTACCATTGCCAATAGCTTCACTTGGGATCTTCTGCAAGACTCGCTCAGGATCAAATGGCGCAAGTCCTGTCGCTTGAAATGACGCTATTAAATCTTTTTTCATAGCATTTTCTGATTTTTTATTCATTTCAATAAGAGCGACAGCCAGTAAATGGGGAAAACCTCTTTTATCAATAGAAGTCTGTTGTGAATGAGTCTTCTTCCAGTTCAATAACATCGACACACACTATTTTAAATGGACGGAAAAATCCAACATCAAGAGGTTGTGTGAGGTGAGTCGAATTCTTCGGAAGGCACACAAAGGCAATGTCATTTTCTTGGCATTGTTTTAAGACAGTATCCGTGAAATGAGACGAGACATTGTCACCCAACAGCACCTTGCGACCCGGTAAACGTTTCGCATGTGGTAAGAATGTCATCTCAAACCAGTCTGTGAAAGTTTGGGCATCGATCCACCCATGGTGGGTTCGATTGTAATGAGAACCTTGACCACAACATCTGTCATTGCAACAAGGCTCACCTTTTTGGACCCAATTCAGTCCATTGCTGCCACATTTTATCTGCCTTGTAGATGATGTAAGGAGGCAATAGTACATCAGTGGCTGAACCAAATCATTTGCAAGTGGTACGGATGTGTAATAGTTGGCGGTAGTGATGTTTCGTCCGGGTTTATCAATTGGTTTTATCAAACGTTTTACAACACTTGCAGCGTCATTAGAAACTTGGAAAGGACCTGACGGTTGTTTTCCTGCATACACCTCCATGTTATGCACATAAAAAGTTCTGGAATCCACCATGGCATGATTTTTTATGCCATTCTTTGCAGGCTTATTGGCCATGTATCGGCGAAATCGGCATTTGCCTCTAAAAGCATCTAACATTTCGTCAATGGTTACGTACTGACTTGGTGTGTAATTTTTATAGCAGTTCTCCACAAAGGCTTGAAATTGGGAACGAATTGGAGCCAAGTTATCTAAATTCATTCGATCCTTGCGATCTCTAAAATCATCAAAACGAACTGCTCGTATCAACAGATGAAAACGGCTTTCAGACATGGTACATACAAAGTAATCTGGAGCAGTACTATCCTGTGCCCAAAACTCCTGGGTATTTAGATGCTGTCCTCTCTTAACACCAGCTAAATAAAGAAGGCCTAGAAAAGCCATCATCTCCTCCGGATCTGTCGGCAAACAGTCTCGAGTCCGTGTATATTTTTCTCTAATCTGGTCCAACTTTTGGTTTGTATATTTCACTATATTCCCTAAAACATCTAGAGGGGAAAATAGTTGCCATCAATCTATAATTTCTTTAGCGTTTCGTGCGCCTGGAAGCTTGTTGATGATATTTTGGCCCTTAGTTTTACCTGGACGACAAATCGGTTTATTTTTTAGCCATACAGTACCATCTTTACCTAGAAACTGTGGTTCACGGGAAGTAGCTGTAGGAAGCGGTACAAAACGCTGAAACTCTGGCATCTCTTCATCATCTGTGTCGGTATTGTGCTCAGAAGCAGCATCAGGTATATCCGTATCTTCATCTGACTGAACTTCAAAATCAGAAGGTGCTTCTTCATACCATTGCATCCACAATTCTTCCGTTTTTTTATCCATTTTAGCTGGAATTTAAAATTTGTTTTAATAAAAATGTAAACATAATTTTTCTATAATACATGATAATAATTGTTGTTGACTAATAGGAATAACAATTACTAATATAAACAAAAAAAACCAGTAGTAACTTACGTGCAAGCGATTGCAATCGGGATAATTTGCGCCAACGTCTTTAGATTTTTCCTAACAGTTAAGCCAACGTGATCAGTCGCGCGCTAGATAAACATTAACCTGATCCGAATTAGGCTGTGTCGAAAACCACCACGTTTGCAAAATGTGTGCTGTATGCGTACGGAGGCGCCCTCTAGGCACTCCTAGGAATGCAGCAAGAAATCTTGAAAAATAAAAAAAATCTGTAGTGGAAGTAGCTTGTTAGATTTTTTCTAACGGCGCTACGGATCGCGGGTTAAGGAAATTGAAGAAATACAATGAAATGTTGTATGTTATGATATGTCTTCAGTCCATTCAGCAATATCGATATCTATCAAAAAATTGTCATAAACCTTAATAGACGACTCACTTTATATGTATTTGAAATTTTTTTATTGGACATGTGACCAAAGAAATATAAAATTTGAGCGTTAAGGTACATGGACGACAGCAAAAATTAGTGTATACTGTATATATAGGTATGCTTTAACAAATATGTATTGAAAAATGATTTCAATTGATTGTGGGGAAGAAAAGGCTTTGTAGCGAACGCAGAACTTCTCTTCAAGGTTTCAGGTTTGAAAAGGGTGATTACCACCTCCCATACTGAATAACCCAGTCTTACTTCTTCCATAATTGTTTTGTCAGGTACCAGCTACCTAAGCTACTGATTCCGTACCACGCCACCGACACGACGAGGGTGAAACACATAATGAGAAACGATTATATATATATTAGCTCTAAGCACGTCATTGAACACTTAAATAGTAGGGAAACAACGTTTCGTAAGCGAATCAAATTAAATAAATATCATTCTCAATGTTCCGTTAAAGAATAGGTGTTCTGTAATTAATTTATGTTGTATCACCACACCAAATTATTTAGTAAATAGGAGTGTGACACAAATTACCGAAATAATTTCACTGATCTATAGCAGACCTAGTATCGGTTATGTTTTTAGCAATGGTTGTATTGTGACGCGTCTGCTTCTCCCGCTTCTCCATAGATTTGAATCCGTGCATGTCGTCTAAGTGCCTTTTCAGACACACGCGGTTTCCGTTTATACGGCGACCGCATACACGGATGTAATCGCTTCACAACTACAACGGTTTTCGTCCGGTTACCCATTGTGACATCAATAGCAGTGTCGGGCTGGTGTTCATATTGGCAGTATGGATAGAAAAAAAACTATAGCTTTATTGTTTTTGTACAGACGTCGCTTGCGTCGTAGTAGAAAAACATGGGAAAGAATATATTGGATTCATCCATATGTTGCCAAAAGAAGGGAATTAGGTGATTTTTATACGAAGTTTATGGATCTCCGAGAACATGAGGATAAGTTCTTCATCTACTTTCGAATGTCAATTAAATCATTCGATGAATTACATGAACGATTAAAACCATCATTACAAAAAAAGAACACGGCCATGAGGGATTGTATTGAGCCTATACAAATGTTGTGCGTCACGCTTAGGTGAGTAAATAAAGTTAAATATATATTTTGTAAATTCTGTTTAATTACATGTACTAACAAACTGAAAAATATTAACTCATTTCAAATAACAGTTTTAATAATAACGGTATAATCGACAACTATGTGAAATCTAAATCCGCGTACACAGAATCCTGTGCAGAAGCACTATCAACTGAAGATGGATTTTCCGCTGTGGGGTTGTATTGTTCAAAATATTCACGTGCGTTTGCCTCATGTGGATAATTTGTTGTAGTATATGCGGGCATGTTTCTGTTAATACAGATTCCTGAAGGAGTCGCAGGTGGCTCTTTTGGCAATGACAAAGTAGAACGGTGAACATGTTCTGTACTATTTTGTCGATTAATATAGTTGTCATATATAGAAGTTCCGGCACATGGAAGTGGCTGGTTTGATTGAAACCGCCTCTGCTTGATATTGGTAATTAATCGTAAAACGCCAGTCTGAAATTGTAAAGTTTCATCGTCTGTGAAGGTATGTAACGATGGGACGATACCTTTAAAAAATGAAATATGACGATCTTCTGGCTGTTCTAAAGCTTTAATCATCCTGAGTTCAACGTCGTCTATTTTTCTTTTTCGAGAGCCAAGTTGCTTTCGAGGAGGTGATTTAAGCTGGGTATTATTATTTTCAGTATCAGTTTCTGGAACATCGGCGTCGGAAGTTGCTTGGACGGGATTGGCAGATAAACTATCTTCAGTTGATCTATGCGTAAATATTTTGGTTAGAAACTTCAGTTGTTCAGCATAAATGTATTTGCTTAAAGTTGAGGCACCAGAACCAGACTTTTTGAACGATTTTTCTTTCTTCAAAAACTTGTTAAATGCATCCCGAATGTTGACCCACCTCTTTACAACCTCTTTACCTGTAAATACAAAAATAAATAATAGAAACTTTCTCTTTCTAGGTATTTGGCGAGTGGATGTACATTTACTGACTTGCACCTTCAGTATAGACTTGGCATTTCAACCATCAGCGGTATTGTTAAAGACGTTTGTTCTACTATATGGTGTTTAATGTTGGGAGAGTGCATACCTCCACCTACTAAAGATAAATGGGAATCGATTTCCACAGAATTCGAAACACGAGCCAATTTTCCTCATTGTATAGGGGCAGTCGATGGAAAACATATTAGAATCAGTAATCCCTTAGGTTCCATGTATTATAACTACAAAGGTTATTCGTCTGTAGTTTTAATGGCTGTTGCTGACGCAAATTATCGCTTTGTGTATGTAGACATTGGGAGTTACGGAAAAGATTGCGACTCATCGATATTTAAAAGATCATCTCTTTGGACATCAATTATTAATAATGATCACGAAATACCTATTGAAAAAACTGTTACTGGAATAGACAATTGCAAATTACCTTATTATTTCGTTGGAGACGAAGCATTTGCCCTCCACCAGCATTTACTTCGTCCATTTGGGGGATCTCAACTTACAATAAAAAAAAGAATTTTTAATTATCGTCTAAGTAGGGCTCGGAGGTATGTGGAATGCACATTTGGACTTTTAAGTAACAAGTGGAGGATATTGCACAGAGCGATAAACCTGGAACCTGACTTTGCAGTAATCATAGTTAAGGCATGTGTCATTTTGCATAATTTTGTGCGCGACAGAGATGGATACCAGGTTGAGGATACAGATGTAATTGTAGGCCTTGATGAACTACCAAGAGAGCGGGAAACACGTGGAGGATTACCAGCAAATAACGTGCGAAATATTTTGAGTGATTATTTTATGTCAAATGTAGGAGCTTTACCTTGGCAAATGTTAAAAATATAGAAAATATGTGAACTTACCATATTTATTTTTTTCTTCCTCACTATAAACATGGAAATCGCTGTTCATTTCTATACAGACTTCTTTCCACGCTTCCTTCGTCTCATTTCTGTTCTTATATATTGGTGATGTTTTATCCCATAATACAGGACGAGCTTCTATCAAAGCAATTAATAACTCAGTATCTAGTTCTTTTGACATTATATTTTATATTAAATAAATACGTATACACGCCGCTGTTTAAACAGGAGCCTATACGACCGTGTGTATGTGAACGAACTCATGCATAACCAATATCTACTAGCTCTACGGCCGCCGTGAAGGAACCGCGACCGTGTCGACTTGCACGGCCGCACTACGGTAACGGCACGGTCACGGCGACATCTGAAAGCGCTCATTCAAATACATGTATTACTAGAACCGTCACGGAACCGTTTATACGGAAACCGTGTGTGTCTGAAAAGGCACTAACAACTCGTTCACACGATACGGTACGGCACGGGAATTTAACCGAAACGACATTTTAACCGAATCGGGTCCAGTGTTCACACGATGCGGTATAATATTTTTGCGCGGATACGCTTCTTGTCAGTTGTTGATTGAGTTTGGCACAATGAATGCAAATATGTTGGTTTTAATGTATTGGTATCGTAGACTCTGTAAAAAACGAGTAATAAGGAGATATTGGGAACACCCTATTATTAGAGAAAGATTTAATTTGGGGTCCTTCCGGACACTTATGTGTCAATTAAGAAGAGATGAAATTAAATTTTTCAATTATTTTCGGATGTCTTCCTCTACGTTTGATGACCTACTTAATAGAGTGAAAAAAGACTTAACTCGAGAAGACACAAATATGAGAACATGTATCAGTGCTGAGGAAAAATTGGTGATATGCTTAAGGTAGGTGTCATTTTTTAAAAACTTTATTTTATATACAAATAAACAAATCAAAAATTGGAAATATCTAGATCTAAAATAGAATCTTGGCTTGCAACAGACTGTGTAGAGGGTGACGGTTCGGCAGTATATGGACTAGTCATTGGTGTTGTTACTCTTGAAATTGTTTGTGGCTGTGGCTGACTGTAATAATCATGATTTTGCCAATTATTGTAATAAGTGGCAATTGTACGCGATGGCATTTGAATATTATCGGCCAACCTTCGCTTCTTTGCTCTCATATTTTGCAATAAACTTAACACACTCGACTGAAATTCCAAAGTTTCATCTTCATCAAACGATGATAATGATGGAAGAAGACTTTTGAAGAATGTAAGATGACGATTTTCATCCTCTTTGACTGTTGAAACCTTGGATAAGTTGATTTGATGGTCTATGAATCGCATCATTTTGGCATCAACTTCATTAATACTCCTCTTTCTGCGTGCAGTAGAAGTACTGATGGGAGTACTACCAGACTGATTTGCTTCCATATTCGGTTGTTCAGGTGGAACACTCTCTTCAATAACTTCTGCATCCAAGTCTTCTATCTCGGTGTTATTTTCATTATTAGTGTTTTCATGACAAACAGTTGAATCTGTAATTTTTTTCAGGAATGACATCTGCTCATTATATATATAAAGTCTTGAAGGTTTGGTCGATGTGCCACTTGTTTTTTGGTCTTTATGTTTTTTCAATGCTTTCATCCACGAGTCTCGAATGTATGTCCACTTTTTTAAAATCAGCTTACCTGGAACAAATAAAATAAAACGTTCCTTCCTTTCAGGTATCTAGCATCTGGGTGTTCGTATAAAGATCTGCATTACTCCTACCGAGTTGGTGTCTCAACAATTAGCAATATTGTGAGAGAAGTTACTCGGAGTATATGGAATAATATGGGTACTAAATTTATGGCATGCCCTGATACGCCAGATAAATGGGAGGAAATAGCGAATGGATTCTGGATGAAAACGAATTTCCCGCATTGCCTCGGTGCGGTAGACGGGAAACATATAAGACTGAGAAAACCCGATAACACTGGCTCTATGTACTTCAACTACAAAGATTACTTCTCTATTGTTTTATTAGCAGTCGTAGATTCAGAATATCGTTTTATATACGTGAATATAGGGTCCTATGGAAAAGATTGTGATTCGTCAATCTGGAAAGAATCTACATTGTGGAAAAAGTTGACACAGGGCGCTTTAAACATACCAACACCCAGACCTTTAGAACAGACACAAATAAATGTACCCTTTGTGTTTATTGGCGATGAAGGTTTCGGATTGCATGACAATTTATTAAGGCCTTTTGGCGGTACACATTTAGACAAGAAAAAGCGAATATTTAATTACCGACTTACTCGCGCTAGAAGATATGTTGAATGTGCATTTGGCATCTTAGCTAATAGATGGAGGATATTTCATCGTCCTCTAGATGTTAAACTAGAAACAGCAATATGGATAGTAAAAGCGTGTACTGTGTTACATAATTTTGTCCGAGAAAAAGACGGGTTTAATTTTGAAAACGCTCATTTGCCAGAAATCCACCTTGACAACTTACCAAAAGCACAAAATATACGAGGAGGACTATCTGCCAATTCCATAAGAACAACTTTTGCTGACTATTTTCTAACAGAAGCTGGTTCTGTTTCTTGGCAAGATGAAGCCATCGGTTAGTAAATTTATGTATGTCAAAATAAACAATAAAATACTTACCAAAAGCCTGCCTCTCCTTTTGTTCCATATCTTCGAAATTCTCCTTTAACAGAGAACATATCTCTCTCCATGCTGACGACTTTAAATTTTTGTCTTTATATGTGTCAAGTGTTTTATCCCATAAAGCGGGTCTCGCTTCCACTAAACTTATCAACAGCTCCGTATTTATTTTCTCCATTGTATATATGTAGGTATATACCATAAATATGAGCAAACTATTTAAAGCCGAAAACAAGTGCCGTTCGGCAAGATAATCGAATCGCGACTGGAGGTGAAATGGCCAATATACATTGTACGTGCCACTGAAGGCCGATTCGGTTTTTTTCCCGAACACAACCGCATGCGACCATACGGTTGCCAGTGGCGCGAACCGAATGCAAGTCCGAACGAATCGGCAGTTTTCCCGTATATGGGGTACGACCGCATCGTGTGAATATGCAGATTTAAAATATTGCGCCACTGCGAGATTCGATACTTTTACCGGTTCGATTAAATGATCGTGACCGAGTCGTCTGAACGAGCTGTAACGGTCATGGCTCACGACGTTTTGAAACACCTCTACGTAAATCAAAACTGCCATCAAAAAGTGTATATAAGGAAACTAAGAGTCACAATTCAAAACGCTTATAGAATGATCATTTTTTAAGTTAGAATCATCATTTTTTCCACTTAACATAATCGTCATAAATAGTCAAACTTTTTTCAAGTCATGGCAGCATCTCTTGGATCCCATCGTCAAAGAACGCTTCTGCTTGACCGTTAGTAACTGTTCCGTTCAATGTTATCATTTTCCAAGCGCTTTCCATCAAGCTTTCCAGTTTTGGAAAATGATGAATATCTGACGGTGCTAAGTCAGGGCTGTATGGTAGATGTTCCATTGATTCCCAACGAAACTTGTCCAGTTGTGTCTGTATTGTTGCATGCCACAACACGAAGCCGAGCGTTGTCGTGAAGCGGATAGAGCGCATGCACCGCTGGCGCTTTGATTAGCGCTTCAATAATAACTTCAAAAAGTTGCCGGTGAATTTCAGCAGGACGAACTTTTTGCGTTCAAAATCCGATTTACTGAGCGCACTTCACAATCTTACTGAATGACATGGTAACAAACAAAGCAGTATCATCACAAAGCCAAAACCTAGAGAGACGTGAAACGTAGTGGCGGCGTAGTGAGAGACTGGCCCGTAGTGTCTGATGTTGAACAGAAGTCACGTAGCAGGATGCGCAGGTACGACGCGCAGTCGGTCCTTACTTTAAAAATGGCCCTCGTATACAGAGTGTTCCTGAAAGTTGAGACTTTCCTTTTTAGATACAACTACGCTTGAAATAAAAAAGTAGATGTTTGATGAAGCAACAGCGAAAAATTAGTTCTGTCACATGAAGGAATTTTCCAAAGTTGTCTGCGATAGATTCACAGACACATGAATGCGCTCGACATAGATCTTTAAAAACGATCTGCGTGAACTCGCGAAGCCTCGGTAGCAGTTCGAAGACACTCACCGTAAATTAAAATAATATGGAATTTGGACTATGTTACTATAAAAAACTGTTTATTTTACTGCTTACGCCGTGTAAAGGAAAGTCCGAATTTTGAGGACACCCTGAATTTTTGCATTTGTCAAAACAGAGATTTACAGAACTGCCAGTTTGAAAGTCTAACTTTTGTGGTTGTGTTCACACACTATAAGTCTTTCAACATGTTGATCATACTTTATATTTACTTTTAGGTGATTTTATTTATAGGTTTATAAAGCTATATTATCAATTATTACAGTACTGCAAAACAGTATGTATGTATATATCTGAAGAGAATAGTTTTGTACAAATCTATTATTTTTAGTAAGGTTGTAGAAGACAAAATATATTTTTGTCTCGTAAATAAATAATAATAAACGTATTCAGACTAGGTGCAAGGAATGAAGCCTACAATGTGTTTGTCCCTGAAATGTCAGTCTATAGTAGGATGAAAGTGCATACGTATACATCAAGTGAATTTGACATGTCCATTTTTTGACAGTTCTGTCATTGAATTCCTATTTTTAGTGATATTCGTTAAAAGTGCGAGTGTTTGTAGTATTACACGTCATGGTGTATCTTTCATAATTTGCAAAGAGCGGCACAAGGTAGGAAGGTAGACCTTTCCACAGTTAAGTATTATACAACGTTGCCACTTTGGCATGCAATGGCAGTCAAAATTATGCACTGAAACTACGCAATTCTGACCACAAACAATGCAATGTAAAGATGTAGGCTTGGCTTCTTCCGATCTATTCCAATTCGTTGCTTAAGAATGAATCCAAATAAGGTAAAAAAACTCAAAAAGATTTTTGAGCAAGTTCATTTGAAACGCTGTTATACAGATATCGAATGAGTTCTGAAAAAAGTGTAATGTAACCTCAATTATAGTCTAAAATGCTACACAGATTGAAAATAAAACATTTACATTACACTTTTGACATGCTTGTCAACATTTTTGAAAATATCCATTTGTATTATGAAAAATACTATTACGTTGCTAGTGTACTTATTGTAAAAATGTATAAAAACTTAAAAAAATGTATAAGTAGTAAAATTTTTGAAATGGTGAATAAGGATGAAGGTTTGTAATTATGATGTGTATTCCTAAGCTTTAAACTGTATGAGACCATTGCAAGAAATACGAAAAATTAATTGATATAAATGTAAATTAACTGGAAAACAAAAAATGCATAGATAGGAAATAAAATCAATTTGGGTTAAGTTTAAAAATGCTGCATTTGGTCTTATTCTTTATATCCTTACTTCGTCTATTATGATAAATTGATGATTGCCATTTTATTTATCCTGTTTTATATATTGTGATAATTTTTATTAGAAAAAATTCTAAATATACACATGATTTCTTTTGGACTCTAAATTTTATTTGTTCCATACCTAACAATGTCATGGCACTCTTGATATTGAACAGTGAAACAAGATATGATTCACAATCACAATTCACAGGAATTTGAACTACCAGTGTGCGCAAAGTTTTTCAACAACCAGTTTCATAAAATTGGAATGACTTGCGTATAATTTCAAATCTCTATTGATATCCATCCATTTGACATTCTGTGCGTCGTCACCGGCCGTCAGTTCAAACTTCCCCACGTGGGTTCCATCTTCGTCGTGAAAGTTGACAGCGACTGTCTCCATCCAAGCATTGTCAGTATTCCTGAAAAAGACAAGTCCAATGAAATGGCATAAATGGCAGTTTTGCTCCTGCTAGGCGCGCTAGTGTCGTTGGAGGTCAAGCTGTCAAAAGTAAGATAACAGACATGATGCCTAAATGCCAGGGCATAGCAGCTGCCTGTGGTACGGACAAAGGAGCGGTAGTATCGGACAGTTCTGGATGTACGAAATTAGATACGGTTAAGACTGAAGGCAGAAGTCAGGCGGGTCTGTCTGGCAGGCACATCGTGCGGCGGGATCATGGAGGAGAGCTCTGAAGAGGAAAGCCCGTTGACATAGCGGTAGAAGAGAGCTATATCGCAGACAACCCGTCCGTGCGAATAGGTCCTGAGACTGTCCGTTAGAGCATGGATAATGAAATCCGGGCGGCAGTATCCCCATACAGTAGTACTTGAGGCTAGGTCTTACGAGTATCTGGGCCATTTGACGAGATGTGCTCGTGCCAGACCGAGTCAAATGAAGGGCTCTTTGGTAGAACTCGGCCATCCATCGAAACCGAATGAGCGTCGGAGCGATTCTTGTTAGTCAAGATACAGTACTATGTTTTGGAAGTAGTTAAAATTGATGCGTTCTCAAGCAGTGATAACCTCCAGGACTCTCGTCAGAGAGGAAGTTGCTGCTAGTCTTCTTTTCTACAGTTCACTGAGTAGCAGAGATGCTTGTCGCTATGAATTCCTATATAATGGGTTGTTCAATAGGGACGCAGGAAAGTAAACGTCAATTTGACATAGTCGCCATCTTTGTTTTCTGTCACCGACATGTCATTTTGTTAGTTGAATGTTTACCATTGATCGCTATGGAGTCGTATTCGATTGAAGACCGCATTAAAGTTATTCAAGAGCACTACAAAAATGGTGCAAAAATAAAAAACACGTTTCGCGCGCTTCGTGAACATTTCGGTCGCAACAACCGCCCAAACGAAACAACCATTGATCGTTTGGTGCGTAAATTCGAGGCAACAGGTTCTGTGGCAAATCTGCCAGGCTCTGGCCGGCCAAGGAGCGTTCGCAAACCGGAAAATATTGCTGTTGTGAAGGAGAGTGTGAGAGACGATCCGAAACAATCAACAACGCGTCGATCCCAAGAATTGGGCATTTCGAGAACCAGTTTGCTCCGCATTCTCCACAAGGATTTGAATGTACACGCCTACAAGATCCAATTGACGCAAGAGCTGCGTCGGGCCGACCATTTTTCGCGCCGAACGTTCTCAGATTGGTTCCTTGAACACCGCCAAATTGATGCCAGTTTTTCATCAAAAATCATGTTCAGCGACGAAGCGCATTTCACTTTGAATGGGACGGTAAACAAGCAAAACTGCCGCATCTGGGCGAACGAAAATCCCCGTGAGTATCAAGAGCAGCCGATGCATCCTCAAAAAGTGACTGTGTGGTGTGCATTGTGGTCGGGGACGCCGTTACCGTCAATTCTGAGCGATATCACGTGATGATAGAGGACTATTTTTAGCCGCAACTTGAAGGAATTGATATGGACGATGTTTATTTCCAACAAGACGGTGCAACATGCCACACAACCAACGTCAATATCCATCGATTGCAGTCCTTCTTCGGTGATCGCGAGATTTCGCGCAGAGGAAATGTGCCATGGCCACCAAGATCGTGCGATTTGACTCCCTTGGACTTCTTTTTATGGGGATATTTGAAAAGCAAAGTATACGTCAACAAACCAGCCACCTTCCAAGAACTCAAAAACAACATCATTGCCGAGATAAATGCCATAGAACCGACCATGTTGCAAAATGTCATTGAAAATTTCGACCATCGCGAGGACGTCTGTAAATCCAGTCGTGGGGAACATTTGAGCGATATTATTTTTCATACATAAATGGTATAAATGAACCTTCAAAATAAAGTACCCAACTTGATTTGAATATCAATCTTTCTTGTTTTAATATGCGTTTACTTTCCTGCGTCCGTTTTGGACAACCCCATATAAAGTACTGTCATCGATGTGTCAATCGGTTTGACCCTAAAGGAAGGAAGGTCGTTGTATTGTAAGAGGAATGATGTTGGAGCCAAGATCGATCCCTGGAGAAAACTCGCGTTGACATTGTGGGATGAAGAGGAGAACTCGACCATTACCATGGGTATGCTGCGGCCAGAGAGGAGTTTTTTATTTGTATTTTCAGCAGATTACCTATGATCATCGACGTATCCTTTGTATATTACGTCGCCACTACTGAAAAACTCCCGTATCATCTGTTGGTCTTTCTCAGCTTGTTCCTTTGACATTTCTAGACTATTCATCGCTTCTTCCAGGAATTCGCGACGCAGAGTTTCACTAACTTGTTCTCCTGGGTCCACCATACCACCAGGAAGAGCCCATTCTTTGCAATCTCTTCGTTGAATTGCGCAGAATTGAAGAATCGGCCTGAAAATTAAATGTCTTTCATATAGTGCCCAAAACACTAGGATAGAATTTGTTAAAAGTTCTTTAAAAAATGTTGTAAAGCTTCAGCTGAGAAGGTACTCTTGTTTGTCATCATAAAATGATCCACTTTGTTCTATCATTACTCGCTCAAATACTCACAATTTGGAACTTGGATTGAACTCTTTGGCGTCACCTATCATTCTCCATCGTGTAACTATGGGATCTGCAGCATGATTTGGACCCCATTTTCCCAAAATCCCACGACCTTTAAGCCCAGTTCTACCCTCGGGATTTAAAGGTCTTCCATCCCTTATATCGTAAACACCCACATGGCTTTGACGATTAACTTTTCCATCGAGCTGGTTCCAGTTTGGTTTGAAATTAGGATCCTCTGAAAAGTCGAAAAATGTACCTCAAAATTAGAGAGCGCCTAAATTGTGTGGCCTAAAACCGCAGAAGCAAAAATGTTACTAATTACCGTATTTTGCAAAGGTAATGGGACTAGCTAATGCAGCAATTTATTTTAGATGGAAATTCCGTTAAAAAGGACTGCCTGGCATCCAAAACAGTATGATTATTCTTTCCTCATTAAATAGTGGACACAGACATGTAACTTTACTTAATTAAATGCTATTTTCTTTGACATTTTTTCCTTACCAAAGGGTGGGTCAGCCCATGGTTTGTTCACTAAAGACTTGGAATTATACTCTGGAGGATCGTAATCTGGAAACTGATTGGACCAGGCTACTAGATCATCGGAAAATATCAGCCTTTTCACGCCACTAAAAGGATAAGTTCCACCTCTGCATTTTGTGTGCACCATTTTTTTGAGAAGCATACAGCTTAAGAACTGTTGAAATATACATACACAAAGATATACTATAAAGAAAATCTGAAAAAAAGAAAATAAATTGATATAAACTGAGGATAAAGGGAAAAAATTCGAAGCATACAAGAATACTTTTCAATCTCAATAATATCACTTAATTTTTAATCCTATTCCTTTTCATTTGGGATAAGCCACCTTTGAATTCGAGTATTATACTTCTTGATAGTTCAAGTACTATATTGACTGGACTGTAACCTCAGCTCTAATGAATGACCATTATGGCAACGTCGGAACGACAAATGTCAAAAGTAACGTGATCAAGAAACGCGAAAGAAGGTCAATGTCAAAATAAAAGCCCCCAAAAAATTTGGAAATTCGGAGCGGTTTTCCGAAAACTTGTAAAATATGGGAAATATAAGCGAAAAAGTGGACGCAGTATCTGCTTCGCATCAAACGCAAAATGAAGAACATCCTAAAAAGCTGAAACCTTGCTGTGCCTGTCCTGAAACCAAAAGAGTTCGAGATGCATGGTATGCTTCAAATATTGCCCAAGATCTAGTAATTTTTAATAATTTTCATTTTCAGTATTATAGAAAAAGGTGAAGAAAACTGCGGAGATCTTATAGAAGCTCACAAACAGTGTATGAGGAATGCAGGGTTCAATATTTAAGATTACCAGCCAACACGTATTTAATTTATAAATAGTACCTAATAGATTGTTTTCTGTAAATTATTGTTAATGTACGCATCAAATGTGAAAAAAAATAAATTGTAGAAAAAAATGCAGTATATTTTTATGACTCGCATAACCTCAATTTTTATGTGAAAGAAAAACAAGTGGAGAACGTATGTCATCCGTCATCGTGTAAAGATAATCCTGCATATCTTTTGTGAAGAAAATCACAAACATCAACAAGAATTTTGATATTGAATTTCAGCAACAACTAAACTTGAAATTTGTATTAGTGAATCTCGTGATATTAGCAAATGACAGAGCTCTCGACTAAAATGAGGGAAGAAACTGAAAATAAAGAAATTACTGATGCAAATGCCTTCTTGAGAGAACGATTTCTTTATTTTCTTTCTTCAATATGTGGTAAGTATTATTATATAGAAAGTGCTGGAGCTGCATTTAATAGAACATACCTAGTTACAGTGTTACAAGATATTAATGCATTTTTATTTTAGGTAAGAAGGAATGCACATTTGAGATGTATGAAAATACTGTTGTGAGGGGTACCATCAAAGCCGTGGATCTTGATTTCCTTAATATTATTGTAGAAAATCTGAAGACTCCGATGTCAGAACCAATCAGCACGGGTATTTTGAGACCTAGTGATGTATTGACTATCTCGTATAAATAAATACCTTGCAGAAAGTAATATTAAATTATAGAATTTACCAAAAATATTATCCTACATACGCCTAAAAAGATCAAACAAAAAATTGGTACCTTTTGAAAAAGATTCCCATAATAGAGTTTGACCATCAGTGAACAGAAGACAAGACAAACCATTTTTTCCGCTGACTGTAGAGCGCTTTCTCTTTTGTCTTTTGTGAAAGTCGATTAAAACTATCTTAGAAATCTGTAATCATTTCAACAGATGTAAAAGCTTTAGAAAGAGACTAATAGATGCCACCCCTCTTTTGTGTAGCGCTTTCTACTCAGTTCTGCTTTAAGTAAAACTATTTATATCATAGGAATCTAAAATTATATTGCGGAGCGCCATCTATTGCAACTAATTATAAGTAAAACTGTTTCTGCTGTAGAAATCTGTAATTGTTTCCGAAAGTCGTAATAGTTTCGCTGGAAAATCAACAGATGTCACCATCGTAATTTTGAGTTATCTCAATTAAATTTACATTTTAGGTTAAGTTCTTTGAACATTTGGGTTTGGTTAGTAGTTAGCTTAAAATCTAAAAATTAAATGATAAAACTCCGATACTTTAGGGCAAAATGTTTTTGAAGAAATTATTGAGGGTTGGATCTACCTATTGCTACTACAGAGCTCATTCCAAACAGTATACGAGCTTCATACGGACTCTCCGAACTTCATCGCTACACTGTGAACAAAAGCAAGATAAAGACGAAAAGGAATCTAAAGCCCTGATACAGCGAGATGCCTTCGACAGAATTGAGTCCAAATCGAAACAGACCTATTTAGAGGCAATCAGGATCTTTGTAAATGAAGATCACATATATCGAAGGGGTCATGTTGAGTTCATATATTCTGCTATGAAACACATGGAAGAATTTGGTGTTCATAAAGACCTGGAAGCGTATAAATCATTGATAGATGTCATGCCAAAAGGTAACCAGTACATATACAAGTAGATAAATTATGGCACAGATTTCCTATATAACCTATCACAAAATTGGCAGAATTTGAGGCAATAAATTAGAAACTTTTTTTGTTTCAGGAAAATTCATCCCACAGAACATTTTTCAAGCAGAATTCATGCATTACCCCAAACAACAGCAATGCATCATAGACCTTTTGGAACAGATGGAAGACTGTGGTGTGATGCCAGACTTTGAAATGGAAGACCAGCTTCTGAACATTTTTGGAAAAAGAGGTTTCCCTTTACGAAAATACTGGAGAATGATGTATTGGATGCCAAAATTCAAAAATCTGTCACCTTTCCCTGTACCTGATCCATTACCAACTGATACATTTGAACTAGCCAAGTACGCTATCGAGAGAATTAGTGGTGTTGATGTAACCACTGTAGTGACAGTATATCAGACATCAGATGTAAAGGATTCTATAGATGACACGTGGATTGTCAGCGCCCAAAGTGGCACACAGAAGAAGTTATTGCAAGAGCATGATGTTACTGAACCTCTATATGTTGAAGGTAAATTTCAATCTTGTTCTTCAAGGTCTTCATGGCCGGTGCAGAAAAAAGTTCCTGAGGGGGCTCAGCAGAGTGTACACATGCTCATAATATTCTGAATTTTTTTTACCATTCATAAATATTTCAATCATTCTTACTCGCCACTTTTGTATGTTGAATCACTTACAATCAATCATCAAAGCCCTATAGTACAATGGGAAGGTCCAAATGGAACATTTCATTTGGAAAAAGCACAAGTTAAAAGCTCTGAGTAAAAAGTTAGTTATGTAAGACTACACTTTAGTTCATAGAGATTGAAACTTTTTTTTTTCTGAAAAAATTAAAGAAATCATTAGAAATTGTTACTTTTAAGAAAAATAGATGTGAGACTATAAAAAATGTTCTTTGCAAGAAAAAGGTTCAAAACCAGATGTGTAATAAGTAAACTAACAGTTCAAAATACATACTGCAACGGATGTTATTCACTTGTTAAAGTGTGTAGAAGTGTTGTGTTGTGATTTTTCAATGTGTTCTTGAAATTCATTAACCATTTTTTTTGGTTATTTTCAATGAGATCAAAGTTTTTGTGTTTAGAAGAAATGTTTGAAAGTCAAAGTAGAAACAATTATGGTCATTTTATTAGGTTCATCTCTTGACATATGAAGACAAATGCTGTGCATTGTTGCCAAATTGTACTTTTTTGGGAGAAATGCGTAATCAAAAAATATGGTTATTTGCTAAGTAAAAGTCTTTAATGTGAATGCCTTTTTTGTAAGAAGTTGTCCTAATATTCACTGAAAATTAGATGAAATTTTGTACAGTATGGGCCTAAACCGTGGAAAATGCACTAGTGGCTTGCAGATAAGAATACTCAAGTTATGGTTATTAATAGATCGTTTAGCCAGCAAACCGTGTTTCCAGGGAACAGCATTCCTATCATTAAATCATCATTAGGAATTCGCCTTCAAGAAGGCGATTTTTGCCTTTTTTTTCGAAGCGTTTACGTATAAACGCGAAAAATCAATTCAGCGAAAGCGACAATGCGCACGCCAAAGATATCCAGATCCAGGACGGATATATTGTTGGATTATGGAGATAAGCGGATTGATATTCGTTTCCGACACTTCTTACCGTCCTTACACTTTTCCTTTCCGAATTTTCAATCATTCCAAGTACCCAGTGCCCTTTGACGTTCGACCTCGATTATAATTGCGCTTACCAAACTTCGATTCATCTTATATATATATATATATATATATATAACTCGAGACGTGGTCATTGTCGTCTAGACCAGCTAGGTGAAAAACTAAAGCTTCTGCCTTTTGTTGGGTACTTCGACAAAATTTAAGCAAGGAGGGCTCTTTATACTTTTTTAATCTCTCTAGCTTTCAATGGTCTTTGCCATCATCATCAGGAGAGTAGTATGTGAGGATGTTGCTAAATGTTATTTACGTTGAAGATGAGGGAAACACCCAGTAACCTGGTGAAAGCTGGATACATGGTACATTAGTCAAAATTATACAAACTACACACAGCTGTGCCAAGAACAAATTAAAACAGATTAAAAATATTTAAAACGAAAGGTAAAACATTACATCACTATGATTCTATGCCCACCATTTTGTGCATTCATCAAGTGGTCACATGGATACCAGACACACAGGTCTAGAGGGAAAGAGAAAGATCCATCAATACTGGGAGGGATTAGCAGGGTTAACCCATGCTAAGGCAACTATACCAATCATGACAAAATAGGTAACAGACTCTTTGCTACCGCTGAACCGGAATACCCTCAAAGCTCTAGTAGCACTGTACACTGGTCATTGCAACTTGCGTCACCATATGAGCATGGCGGAAGACGCTGAGTGCAGACTGTGCATGGAGGGAGATGAAACGGCCAGTCATGTATTGTGCAGATGCAATGATGTACCTGATTCTGGCAATTGCCAGAAACAGGTACAACATACTTCGAGATGTAGCACTCCAAGCAGAAGACCTGAAGAATATTTCTCCAAACAAGTTGATCGACTTCCTCAGGAGGTCGGAGCTAATGGGGGAAATATAAATAGGTGTGAGCCACTATAGACCAAAGAGTCGCAGTGGAAGATCGTTATTGATGCACTCACAAGAAACCTAACCTAACCTAACAGGCATAAAAAAGTAAATCAATTATACTCCATATAATCTAGAAAAAAAATAACAGAAGTATTTTTGTGAACGGCATACGGCATTCTAAAAAAAAGTGCCAGCCATACCAGGTAATCGCATTTTCATGGCAATCCTGTGTCGATTGCATATTTTTGCCCTAGTAAGAATTGAAGTAAAAATTGACAAACCAAATCAGATTCTAATTCGCGCGCGACGTTTGTTTTACTAAATTAGCCGACTACAACTATCTGTCGACTATGTTTATCTGAAATAAAAGAAATTACTACTTAACAATAACCTATTTTCAACATTAAAATAATGCAAATTGGCATTACTGCGATGAATATTGTCACAGTAATATACAGTGTATGTTATATTCATATAATTTAGAGCATTATTTTGTGTCAAAAAGAAATAACGGTTTATGAAACAGTATTCTATCCTACAGTATTACCAACAAAAACGCGACTTTGAAATTTTATAAAATAGCAAGTAGAAGCTACCTTAAAAAAAAATGATGTTTTCGGTCAAGTTACATCCAAATCTTTCGTTCTATAATAAGAAATGAAATATTTGCGATATGCGCTAAAGTGGTTTTCAGCCCAAACATGAATCACAGAAAAATTGAATGGTTCATAAAATTAGTCCATAGACATTTTCCCCTGCCCATCTAATAACGCCTCCTTTCGCAGTTACCTAACCATCTAACCCCATCAGACGTGGCAGTAATACCAGAACATTTACCAAGACCGCCTGGCTACCGGGAGCAGGAGCAGATGCTTATAGAAAACATTTCTCTATCATAAGTTTTGAAGGCCAATGTACCGGAAAATACGTCCAAGGGTCGAATCGCCAGTCGTTCCTACAATTGTAGGACGCGCCTTCATGGCCTCCTTGATTTTCATAGTCTTTCCTCTCTTTCAGAAAGGCTGAGATATTTCTAGATTTCTACTGTTCCGTGTCAGCGTCAGTGCTCTCCTATTGTCAGGCTGTTTTCTTTTTGAATTGCAGGAAATTTCAGGCTGCTATATAACAGATGATATAAATCAAAAGTATGAACAATTTAATGCAAATAGATATTTGTAACATATCCTCAAAATAGAGCGCTGACACGGCAGAGTACAAAATTATGAAAATCAAGGAGGCCATAAAGCGTCCTACAATTGTAGGAACGACTGACGATACGGCCCTAATAGTAAAACTGAGATATACCCTCCCCATCCCCTAATTTTTTACCTGTAACATTTTCTTCAAAAATGATCGATGTTGTTTCTTTTTTGGCCTTCGTTTCCGCCACCAGTGGGCCGATTTTCAAAAATTACAAAGCCAGTAGGCGTGGGAAGTAACAATGCTTACATTTGGCAGGCCGCCACTTTAAAAGTGAATTTCACAATCTAGGGTTATAAAGTGCTGGACAAGGAGCATCGAACTGAGGTATCAGACGACCTAGGACCATTTTTAACTGTCACGCTAAAATATAGTATTCTTGTATCAATTCCATCATCCCAAATTTCAGTTTGCTGATCCCACTTGCTTTCTTGCTTTTAGGGCCTTTCAAAGTTTGGATCAAAGGTAACCTCATAAACTACTTCATCCTACGCACGAAGCCAAAACCGAGCCCAGAAGATGACGACGTCAACCTTGACGACGTCAGCAACCTGAAAGTGTCACTGTTCAATCTACGGCCCCCCGTCGGCAAACATTTGAAAAAGATCCCGTCTGTGCATGAACAGGACGATGGCACAATATTTTCTTTGTGCGCAACGGGCACGTCAAGTCAGGATTCGTTGTTATCATGGATCAGACACTTGGAGAATGATGGAAATCCTAAGTTGGGAGAAGTCCAAGTAGTGTTTACGCTTAAAACTGGAACCAAGGAGGTTGCTAAAGTAGGGGATGAGGAAAGTCAGGAGAAAATTGAGGATAAATAGTTGGAGTCAGGAAGATGCATGAAGAATGTATCATCTTATAGAAGGCATTTTAAAAGGCAGATGCCTGGGAACATAACCTCAAAGTGTGATTTTATTCTGGAACATAATCCAAAATTGTTCCTCAGTATACATAGAAATCCATATACCACTGACGTCGTAATGTGTACGAGACAGAAGCGTGCAATACGTATGTTAGAAAGAGATAGAAGTATCACGTTGCCTAGCAACGAGAGTGGCGAGGCCACGGATGCAGCTGCGGCTTCTCGCGTTTCTGTCTCGTTAGAGATATTTGGATTTCTCTGTACAGGAAACCTTGAGGAAATGATAGGATCAAATGCTGAGCTGTTATTTTGCTTATCTTGTGGACTACCTGTAATAAACTGTTGAACGTTTCATTTTTTTTAATCTCCACCCGAATTTTCTTCCCCTTCCATGAAGCTATAAATGAAAATAAAAAGTATAAAAAATGCTTTATTCAAGAATTAAATTAGAAATACATATATCACAAAACATATACTATATCTACAGATATAAATACTACTCAAATGTACGTTATGTAAAAAATTACTTTGAAACAAAAATGCGAATTTCACATAATACCAGCCATATTTGTAATCGCCACTTAAGTGATAATCAAGGGTTGAACTGAGTTTGCAGTTGTAACATAGAAACATTAAATTTAACTCGAAAAGTGCAAAATTGAAGGAATTCAGATACAAGTAACAAGTGATAAATGATGCAGACTCAAGTGTAGAGTATGTACTTTGTCGATGTAAATAAGGGACACTTAGCACTTGAGTATCACTTCTTAAGTGGTGATTATAAAATTACGAGCCTTATTCCATTTAGTAATCAATGGCACATCTATACTATTACATACAAAAATATACGATACACTTTGTTATTGGGTTCCCTCAATGATTCACATATCCTACCTGAAGACAGCTAACCATATATAATAATGATAGCTTGAAACTATTCTGCCACTTAACCCTTGTCCCTTGAAAAGTACAAAAACATAAAATAATTATAAACGTGTAAAAGTAATATAACCTAATTATATAATATTGTAGTCACAGTAGATAATCAAAATTTAATCATCCATATACAGAATTACGGCGTCCAAAAAAGGATCTGAAAGATCGTACTCCCATATATGAGACAAGAACACAAAATTAATTAAGAAACTTACTGTGAAAAGAGTTAAAGTGTTTGGTTCTGCTACCTGAAACCGTTCACAGATGCCGCTAGGATCTTCAGTTCTTTTTTGACGCCCACTTTAACTGGCAATCTTTAGGCATCAATTAAGGATCCAGGATCTTCATTGCGACATATATGAACTATGAAACAGCAGCAAACACTGATAACCCTTTTCAAAGTACATTACTAAATTCATTTCCGTATTCTGCTACTGTCTTATAGGTGGCGCAGGGATCTTTAAGATATCTTTTTGGACGTCGGAATAAAATATATGATAGGCTATCTTCAGGTAGAATCAATGGTTGTATAAACACGGGTTTGTATGAGAACAAGTCTAAACCCTCTCCTATAATAAAAGACACATATGTCATAAAACTGACAGTGAGGATAGATTACCGTTTAAATTGCTTCAAGATACAATGTTTATATACAAGATGTTACCACTAATATACAGCTCAAGAACGTGGAAATTACGAATGCCAACACTGCCGGGATTTGATCCCTGACAGATCACTCTGCTGGATAGGCAGCATTGTTGCCATTTACACGTCGTATGATGCTTGAGTTGTATAACATATTGTCTCTTTGAATTTTATGAAAAGCTATTATACAAAAATAAATATTCTGTATACAAATTCATCACAGTCTATGTACAAAAAGCATAAAAAATAAGTACATGGTCAGATAAACGCTTGTCAAAAATGAAACTAAATTTTGAATTTTCGGAAAAAGCATATCGAAAGATTCTTCTCATGCAAATATTAAAAATGTTCGTTTCCAAAATCATAGTGAATATGAATCAAGAAATACTGATGAAAACGTAAAATTTGAAATGTTCTATGCGGTACTGGCGCTAAATATAAAATCATGACATGAGATCTTTTCAAAATACCTACAGTATATTCAGATAAGAGATAGACCGGATGTAAACAAAAGGTTCGGGTGATTTTCACGCTAACGCCGCCGTCTCGACGTAAAACAGGAGCCCTCATTGGTCAATTCGCAATTAAATGCCTATGCCGAGCGGCAGAGCAGTCGTATCATTCAGGTTCAGACGTGTTACGTATGTCGTGTGCATCATTGCAATTTGATATTTCTTTGGACGTTTTCGTTTGTTATCTTATTAAGTTGTTGAGTTTGTCGTTGTTATTGTTATACCTTGTTATTGTTATCAACTGCTTGCGCAAAATGCCCAGTAGTACAGATACTGCCGATGAAGTTGTAAACTCCTGTAGTCCACCTAGGAAACGCTCTAAAAAAAGACACATGAGTGCAGAAATGAAAGAGGCCATTTTGAATATATATAAGATCGAGCGCGAGGAGAACGAGGCATCAACCATCAAAGAAATTGTTGTGAAGGTTTCTCACAAAGTTGGGGTGTGTCGCGCATCAGTGTTTAATGTGTTAAGGCAATACAAAAAAAATCACACCTTTTCTGAGCCAATGACCAGTAAACATCGCAAAAGTATTGTTAAATCATTGGATGAAGCTGATAAGCATGCGATTAGGAGGAAAGTGCATGAATTCTTCTTTAGGAATGAAATACCTACTATAGATAAAGTACTGCAGGAGGTAAATGGAGATACAACGTTGCCAAATTTCAAACGATCAACTTTCCATGCGTTACTGAAGCATTTAAATTTCAAATGGAAAAAACGGGGTTGTAATAGTTTACTACTGGATAGAGAAGAAATTGTGCTATGGAGGAGAGATTATTTAACAAAAATTGGGAAATATAGAAATCAAAACAGGAAGCTTTATTACCTTGATGAAACGTGGGTAAACGCAGGACACACTACAAGTAAAGTATGGGTTGATGATTCTGTAACTTCATCCAGGAGGGCCTTTCTAGATGGACTGTCCACCGGATTAAAAAATCCAGCAGGTAAATACGAGTAATAGACAACAATCTAATGTTTTTCAAACCTTGGGAACAAGGTTCTAAACATTAATTCCAGGGGGCAGATAAAACATATTACAAGTAACAAAACTTTTATAACTTTCGATAAAATGCGTGGATGTTTTATTGTCATTTTCATTTGTTAGAACTTTTTTAAGCCATGTTTTTATGTGTTTTCGATATTTCAATAATTTTTTAATATAATCTTAAAATATGTCGAATATTATAAACTTAAAAAAAGTTACTAAGTTTTATATTGTGTACCGTTCCTAATATTTCTAATCATTTTAATTCATACTTTAAGCTTTATAAAATTATAATTTGTTAATATTAATATTTGCGCGTATTTCAGGTTCCTGATCATTCATTTTTTAAAGGTTTATAACTTTAAATTAAATTGTGAAGCGCTGAGTAATCATACGACGTTCAATATTCTTTCTTTCAATATGACTAAATAATCCCAATTATAGCAATCTGATACTCATGTCTCAATGTTTTTTCGCTGAATGTGATGAAAACATTTGAAAAAGGTTCGCTTATTGAAATAAATCTACACCAGTTAGTACTTCGATTTCCAGGTAAAGGGAAAAGGCTCATTATCTGCCATATTGGCAGTGAGGATGGATTTGTTGTTGACGGTCTGTGGTGCTTTGAGTCTAAGAAAACTGGAGATTACCACGAGGAAATGAATGGCGAATCGTTTGAACAGTGGTTTTCAAAAATTTTACCGAACTTAGAGGAAAACGCAGTAATTGTGTTGGATAATGCGCCTTATCATTCTCGAAGAATGGAGAAGGTCCCAACAACGGCTTCAAGGAAAGTTGATGTTCAAAATTGGCTCCGCTCGAAAAATATCAACTTTGAAGAAGCAATGCTGAAAGTACAATTATTAAGAATTGTCAAGGATCATAAGGCGGAATATCAAAAATACGCCATTGACGAAATGGCAGCAAGTCAAAATAAAACTGTGCTCCGTTTACCTCCATACCATTGCGAGCTCAATCCCATTGAGCTCATATGGGCAGAGGTTAAAAATTATATAGCTAAGCACAATACAACTTTTAAATTTTGTGACCTCAAAGGACTTTTCAAAGAAGCACTAGAATTAATAACAGCGCAAAAATGGGAAAACTGTATTAAGCACGTGGAAGACAAAGTTGAAAAGAGAATGTGGGAACTGGACAATATTTTAGAGGAACAAGTCGAGCCATTCATTATTGACGTTGGTGCTTCAGGCAGTAGCGATGATGAAAGCTCATCAAGCTCATCTTTCCAATAAAAGATGTCGTTCATCAAATTCGGTAAGTTATAAGTAATTATAAAGCTAATATATTTTTTAATTAATTATTGACATTTTTGAACCCATTTTGGCAAAACCTATTCAAGAATCTACTTTCTGACAATGATCAACCATGCACATTTTTTTACGTTTTGAACGTTTTAATTTGGTTACATATTTACCTAGAAATCAAAAAATATACTAATCAATATTCTAAAAGCAATTTTAAGAGATATACGATTATTTTTAATTTAGGCTAATTTAAACGCCATTTTGAGATTATATTCGACTGTATTTCACCAAACATCAGGCGGCATCCGAAGCTGGAAATCGAAGCGAAAATTTTGAAACCCTTATGTATATTTACATCATTATATATTTCTTACCCCACCCCCACATGATCCTATATCCATCACCAATACACATCGAATTGTGCTAATTTACTACAAAGTTACGCAAAGCAGCATCTACTATCTAAAATATGTACTGCGTGACTCTTAATACGTCCCTGCCGAATGTTACAGCGTTCGATGATCACGTGGTCTTGTTTATGTCCGGTCTATCTCTTATCTGAATATACTGTAGCTCATTTTGATTTAATATATAGTAAGAAATAAGTACGTGATGACTAACCCATAATGCTCCTTAGCTATATACTCTAAATACATAAATATATGAAACAGTTTACAGTACAGTTTATTCCTATCTTCTTGGTGATTTAAATAAAAAATCACGGAAGCATTTGTTATCATCCACAGCATATCTTGAGAAATATCCTCTCACAAAGAATTTTTCAAAAACATTTGTAGAACTACGAGATGTTTTCACGCTTTCGAGATGTCGTGTAAATGTCCCTCTATCTCATATTAAATATTCCTCAAATCAAACAAATGACCTTGATTCAGAGGTCAATTTAAAAAACTATTGACATTGAAATTAGCTAACCTATATTTAGAGTGATTTCACTTTGAGGTGTTGTTGTGTCCTGTTCAATTCAAAATAATCCTTTACCTTGAAATCATCTTGCAGATCAAGGTCATTCTCGTACGTACAATTTTTCCATCAGCAAAAGGTATTCTATTTGAAATATACAAGGTGTGCCCTCCTAATGACCTGAAAGATCATTTTCAAGGTCATGACCAAGATTGCCGTTGAATTGATCCCTCAAAACGCTGCAACTTCGAGCAGTATATTCTGGGATAAAGGAAGGTAAGAAGAACATATCTGTAGAACTACGCTTTCGAGGATGTTCCACAATCTTTTCCACTCCAAGTGTTTCCAACCCGCCTATCTCAGAAAATACTCCTCAAATGAAAAAAAAAATGGTTAAAATAAAAGTTGCAGGGTCTTGAAGGAATAATATTTGACCTTTATCACGATTTTAAAAATGCCCCTCAAAGTCATTTAGGGGTCAACTAGAAAAATTTAGAACCCCACTGATGAAAAAAGCTACAGTTCTGTGTTCAGGAATGAGCTCGAGCAATACATTCAAGGTCATCCAGAGGTCACCTTGAAAATTGAAATGGATCAACGGACGGAAAAGCTCATGTTTGTATGTGCTCTTGACCTTGAAATTAGTTAACCTCTATTCAGGGTGATTCCAATATGAGGTCATATTCAAGGTCATTTCAGAACGAAAATGTTCCCTTCGGTCCATTGGTGTTAAAAATCATGTTCAATTCAATATAATCAGTTAACCTTGTAGGTCATGGTCAAGGTCATTTGCGAACGTACAATTTTTCTAATAAAATGTTGAAGATGTGGCCTCCAGATTATCTGAAAGGTTATTTTCAAGGCCATGGGATGGTTGCCATTATTCTCTCGAAATACTGTAATCTTTCAGAAGTATTTTTGAGAGAGAGGGAGGAGGTCAGCTTCATGAAACTATATCATTAAACACCTTCATGTCTTTATTGAATACTTCCTAGGTATTCTGAGACAGCACGCAAAACATGTCTCATATAAGTCGTACCTTTATTCATTTATAGTACCTGCCGATGTAGGCACCTTAAGTACTATCTTTGTACTGTAGTTCTCAAACTAGGTAGAATCCTATATACATTCTCATTCTGCTGTTTATATGATTGTCTCACCCCCAGTTCTCATATGATGTAACCTAGGCTTCCTGTGAGGATGAGACCTCGTTGAGTGCCTGGAGGTCGTACTCAAACTCGTAGACAACGTTTGAGTAGGCATATACCTCAATACTTGAGGCATTGTCTGGACTTTTAGAGGAGGTTGCTTCCTCGGTCCCATACGTTTAACCAACGCTCTCCAGGCATTCACGCTTTTGATGGACCAGATCCAAAACACGCTACTAACACCGATAAAAAGCGCCATGAAATGCTTGAGTAAAAATGCCCACAATGCCGGTTTTTTCTCCCCAGAGTACCACTTCTCCCTATTGTTATACTCATAATAAATACTGACAAGTACACAGAATGTTGGGATAGCGTAGAGCGTGCAGAGAGCTCCCAAAAAGTCGCTTTCTTTTCTTGGTGCAGAATTCGTCAGTGGTGTAGCGCTGATTGGAATCGGTTTCTTGACGACGTAAATGCAGCCCAGGACCAGCAAAAGGACGCCAAATGTGAAGTATAGGAAGTGAGGAATCAGGACCAGAGAAAGTAGAGTTGTCGAGTTT